ATCTGTACCCCCGATTATGTAATGGATTCCCCGGTTTGTAGTACAGGAAGAGTCTGAAAGGCTGATTATATTGTACAGTATATATTCTCATTCAGTTGCCAAGGTAATAATGTGAGTTTAAAATCGTTGTTTCTTTTATCATAATTAAATACTCCGAATGTATAGAGTAACCCACTTAAGAACTGTAAAAACAAACGAATAATGTACTATAACAAATGTTTGCATAATTTTAACAACTGTCAGCATAAATTTCAAGCAGCGACAACAATATATGAACTACGAACTGAATCTCTGGCCAAATTGGAAAAGTTGGCCTAACCGAGAGCCAAAATAAAAATACAGCAGAGCGGAGTAAAACGAAAACTTTGGCTGACAACTTTTGAAATAAAGTAAACAATAAAATGTGCCAATTGTGATTATGTGCCAAGAGAATATAATTAGGAAAAGCTTATAAGCTTTCCCCCTGCCTCATTAAGGTCATAAAATGCTAAAGTTGTGATGCAAATTTCCGCTAATTTAGGGTTATGGTTGGGGTAACACGGAGACCTGAGCACACCATCTCAATTAGTTGTTCATTTAATTACGCATTCAATTGTACTTTCAATTGGTAATCAATTTTTGTGTGTACGATTTTTGCACATTTTTGCACCACTGATTAAATAAAAATACATCACTGTAAGGGTGGGAAAATTGTTCGGGATATTATAAAAAATAATATGCATTTTAAAATCCACTCCTGCAGGGGAGGCAGGAAGATTGATACGGGCAATGCCAGTGGTGAAGCACACGTGCCATGGTTTAGTCTGCACGCGATTCCCCCCGACCACAATTGTCGTCCATCCGCTTCGTCTGCCGCCTGTCGCCAAAAAAGTGGCTAAAAACGTGATGTGCATTTCAAATCGGCGTTCCCATCATCGCCTCCAGCCGACTGAGAACTGCATCCCCAACAAATCCCCATCGCAACCCAACCCTTTGGGCCCATCCATATGCACCTGCGCAACTCCCCCGATGAAACGCTTGCACTTTTGTTTATGTCCTTCGAAGAGGCGCGAGAAATTGAAAAAGCGAAGGGTAGCTCCAAGTGAATGATTGAGGGTGTGACGGGGCTGGGCTTCCTCTGGCAGAAGTTCAAGCTAAGTGGCAGCTTGTCTCGGGTGAGAATTTCACACATCATTAGCCACCGGAAAGTGTCTTTATTGCTAAAGAAGAAGAATCAAAAAACGGCTTGGGTTTTAAATAAAATAATGATGATGATGCGGTTTGACGTAGACTTTTAGTATTTTTTTTTACATTAGTTACAATTACAATAACATAAATGCACAAGTATGCGCCATATAACAATTTATATTCATATGTGTATTTATTATTATATTTAAAATAATAATATATTCTTTATTTTTTACTCAAAAAGTTTTAGGAATGTAAACATTTTTGACATTACATAAAGTCTTCATTATGTTTTTCCTACATTACATTATTACACATTTATTTACAGGTCAACAAAATAAAGCTTTTTGTTGCGTTATTTGCTAGGCTGTTTTAAAGGCTTTTAAGCTTTTATTTTAAGATCCCTGCTCCCTTTTTAAAAAGCTTTATTCTTAAGAAGCTTTGCACAGGATTTGCTAAAAACAATTACATATGTAACTTTGATGTGTATATTATCTGTGTACGGGGCGGGTAATTTTTAAAAAAAAAAAAAAAAAAAAAAAAAAAAAAAAGGGGGTATTTTTTAAAAATTTTTTTTTTTTTTTTTTTAAATTTTCCCCCTTTTTTTTTTTTTTTTTTTTTTTATTTTTTTATTTTTTTTTTTTTTTTTTTTTTTTTTTTTTTTTTTTATTTGAGTGTTTTTAATAAAAAAAAAATAATTTAAATAAAAAATTTCCAAATTTTAACTCTAACACTTTCACCACTCTTTCTCCCAAATGCAATTTGTAGATTTTGGTTCCAACATTGTGGAAGACCTTTTAAATTTATGTAACATGCTGCTAAGAGATGACGTCAATGGCAACCAAATAAAATTTACATTTTCGCAGTTTTTTAGCATTGGGAACCTTTATGCACAATCTACATAAACAATATATATAAACCAGCTTGATTAGGCATTGATTAAACAAATCCGATGAATATAAAATAGTGGGAGCAGTGAAAATAAATGTTCAGTGTCTACTTATGATGGCTACGTAAAAGTCGAAACACAATGCGTGAATTTTTGAAATTATTATTTTTCGGAGTTCCTGTTCAAATTCTTTTTCCAAGGGGATTGGTAAGCTAGTTTGCTCAACTTGGTGACCAAAAGTGGTAATAGATAGAAAAGAATAGTTCGAGCAGCAAGAGATCCGAAAAATTTCAGAAGATTGGTGAAAAGTTCTGAGTTCTGAGATGAATTCACATCTTGTAACTCTTCAAAATGAAGCGGAGTGCTAGAAACTTACCGAGCATCTGAACAGCGACAAAAATTATTGGGTGGACATTAACGACAGACAAGATGAAAAATATTTGTATCTCACTTAAACGAGGAAGAAGTAAGCTTCATAAACTTTTAGGTTGGCACCCTAAAATTGGGAAAAATTTTTCGCCCGAGTCTCGAGTACACTGACTTTAATGCATCATAGGCATTTTGGGTTACAAACATTCAAAGGTTAGGGCTAGTACTCAACCCAACAAAAAGTCGTCCAAAACAAAAACTTCATATGAAACAAAATTTTTTGACGTTGTTATACCCTTGCAGAGGGTATTATGATTTCAGTCAGAAGTTTGCAACGCAGTGAAGGAGACGATTCCGACCCCATAAAGTATATATATTCTTGATCAGCATCACAAGACGAGTCGATCTAGCCATGTCCGCCTGTCCGTCTGTCCGTCTGTCCGTCCGTCTGTCCGTCTGTCTGTCTGTCCGTCTGTCTGTTTCTACGCAAACTAGTCTCTCAGTTTTTGAGCTATCGGGACGAAACTTTCGCAAAAGTCTTCTTTCTATTGCAGGTAGTATATATGTCGGAACCGACCGGATCGGACAACTATATATTATAGCTCCCATAGGAAGGATCGGAAAAAAAAACTTTACAAAATTCTAGCTTCGGTGTCTTTTGAAATTATACCTTCTACTTTTGGGGATGTTATTTTTTTAGTATTTCTGAATTTCGAATTAATTATTTAAAAAATCGGACTACTTTATCATATAGCTGCCATAGGGACGATCGGAAAATTAATGGAAAAGTAATAGGAAATAAATTCTAGCTTCTTTGGTTTTTATTGTATTATCTTCTACTCTAGGATAAATATTTCCGAATTTCAGTTTTAATTTGATCAAAATCGGACGACTATATCATATAGCTGCCATAGGAACGATCGGAAAATTAATGAGAAATATTAGAAAATTTAACATTTTTGCGATTTGTTAATTAATAGGAAAGATCTGCAAGGGTATATAAGCTTCGGCTGCCCAAAGCTAGCTTCCTTTCTTGTTTTTAATATGAAGTTTTTTGTTTTGGACGACTTTTTGTTGGGTTGAGTACTAAGTCTTCCAGTGACCTCGAGCGAAGACTCGTGACTCTGGAAGCCCGGCAATTTTCTGATAACGATGCCTTAGAATAGAGAATTCGGAGATTAGAAATCCACTTGCCCATCCAACGGAGAATTAAAATTTCGCAATCAAAGCCTGTTGATAACGAAAAAATTATTTTTGAGAGTTTCGACAAATTGGAGGATGGTTTAAAAAATGAGTTGGCTGAGCAACTGGGTAAACTAACTTTAAAATTCGACGAAATAATTAACAAGTTAACACCGGTAGAAAAAGAAAGTTCCAGCAGCAAGAGTTCCGACAAATTTCAGAAGATTGGTGAAAAGTATTACTATATTGAAAATGAAGTGCAGAAGGACTGGTCTGATGCCATGGCTACTTGTTCTGAGATGAAAGGACACCTTGTGAGTTTTCAAAATGAAGCGGAGTGGAAGGCACTTGCCGAGCATCTGAGCAGCGACAAAAACTATTGGGTGGACATTAACGACAAAGCAAATGAAGGAGTATTTGTATCTGACTTAACCAAAAAAGAAGCAACCTTCTTAAAGTGGCGTGAGGGCGAACCTAATAAAGCGCCTGATAAACCCTATTATGAAGATTGTGTGGAATTGCGAGGAGATTCTGATTTTTACATGAATGACGCTCGGTGCTTAAATCTGGCTAATTTTATTTGCGAAACAGAATAATATTAAGACAAAACTTAAAACTAAATTGATTCAATTAACAGTCGCTTTTGAATTACCTTACCAATTGTTTCTGAACTCACTTTAATAGATTTTTTTTGTATTTTGATTTTATACTTACAATTTATAAATACGTTTTGTAAATTTTTGTATATCAATTTTATTTGTTACAAATAATGGATATACATTTTATATTACTAGATGGTAAATAAATGAAAGCAATATAGTATATGTTTATGCATTTATCATATATCAGCTTTCAGCGCGACCCGCTAATGAGCCAAATTCATGTTGTTGTTCCGCGAAATCCAATGAGTATCTTGGAGGATGGCGGTCAGACAAATTGACAGGCCCAAATGAAAATGTCTTATGTCTGAATGGATATAATATGAATAAATAAGGCAAAATATAAGTACCTACTGCATTGGCGCCAAACAAAAATTTACTTTAGCTTACCTCGCCACGGGGTGGAAAACTTTAAGCTCAGGGATGACGAAAGAGTCTGGAGCATTTTTAGTGGTTCATTTTCGCATAAGGGATGAACGAAATTGTTAGTTCCGTACGACTCAGCTCTTAACAGCTCGCAAAGGGCGGATAATTTAAATAACACTTGCAGGATATCCCCTTATACAAAAAGTTAATTGGGTTTAAAAACGGTGAGTATATTGAATTATAAAATACAATGCTGCCAAAATTGACATTTGTTGTTATTCTTGTTAGAAATAAATCCTTGAAAAAAAAAATAAAGAAACGCAAATTACAATAGCTTAGACATTTTTTTTTAATTTGTTAGAACTTTCTTACAATGTTGTCTCAAGATTTGAAGAACTTCTGAGCAGTTGTTCTTTTAGCATAATGTGTGGCATCGAATAGATCAGTTTGTTCCAAAAGTTGGGATGATTTCTGTCCAAATAAGTGTTCAACACCATGTAGGCCCTCAGCTCGCTGTCCAGATCATCGAAGTTCTCTACATCCGGATAAAGGACGACTATCAGGCGTTTGCACCGATCCTTCGAAGTGGCATGGAGAGCCAGCCTGAACTCGAGTCGTCCCCAGGTGGATTTCAGGAAGTTCTTCGTCATCAGGATGATAATGCGTTTCGAGTCTTTGACAGATTGATTGATGCAGTCGGGAATGGACTCGCCCACTAACCAATCTCTGAGATAGAAGCAGAGCCTAAACTTGTGCCTGCCTTTCTCCAGTCGGTCTACGAACTCTTCAACGAGGTCTTCGTCCTTGTGAGTGAATGACAGGAATGCATCGAATTTTTTGTCCTGATCGAGTTCCCTTCGGGCGGCCAGACTTAAGCATATTTCGTGCTCGTAGAACCAAATCAATATGGGTTGCCTGAAGCAGATAAAGATGTTAATTGACACAGCTATAATCAGCAATGAAATGGCAAAGGAAGTGTAGTAGATAAGGACCGAGGGACATATGTCAATCTCTTCAACCTCAAGCAGAGATTTCCCAGTTTCGCCGCATTGAACAGCTGAGGCGTTTCCAATATTTTTCGCTTGCTCCTTAACGAACTCCAAGAAATCCTTCTCCTCGCAGTTGCAAGTCCACGGATTTCCGGAGAGTACCATCTTTAGCTGGGAAGAATTCATTCTCTTTTGAAGAAAGTCCCGTACTCGAACGCTGAGAACTGAGAAATTATTGTAACTTATGTCCAGATAGTTCACGTTGTCTGGTAATCGATCGATATTCGACAGTAGGTTGTGGCCCAAATAAAAGCGTGCAACACTAGAGTATCCTGGCAGAGAGCCTGAGGGCCATTCCCTGAGAGAATTTCTTTCAAAAATTAATGTTGTTTGTCCAATTGTAGGTCTAGGTAAAGCTGGTACCTGCCCTAGACCTTTATTGCTGCAGTCGACGATGAGTGAGAGCGGTTTGGATTTGGGGTTGTCGATACAGCAAATGCATTCTTCAGGACACCTATCTTGGGTTATATTAACACGCCGCATAACTATTTCATATTCCACTGGATCACGTTCCCTTAGAAATGATAGAAAGGTCTTTGACTTGCAGTCAAAGTCCCATGGGTTACCAGATAATTTTACCTCAGTGATTTCTTTACGATATCTCAGGAATTTCACCACCTCATAATCAAGGGTGTGCAAGGAATTATTACTTAGGTCCAGGTAAGTAATGTTCTCTGGCATCAAGTGATGTGGTAGTTCGGCTAGCATGTTTCCGGACATATGCAATTTTTGTATCGAGGCCAGTCCAGCATTGCTGAGGTTTTGAGGGCTGGTAAGTTTATGAATATCATTTCCATCAAGATATAATGTCGTGTTGTACGGAATCAAATTTGGTAGCCTGGGGAAGTAATCAAGAGTTGCATTCGCACAATTTATTATGAACTGATCAGTTCGGCGTTCGACGCAACAGGTGCATCTGTATGGACATGGCTCGTTGAGATGGTGAATAATATATTCATCGTACTCGCCCGCAAACAGCCAAATGGCATTGTTTAGCTCTTCCATTAACTTCAATGTAAAGTATTTTTCTGATTCTCCAAATGTGTTTATTATGTAATCTTCATTTGCCTCCCAGTAAAAATGCGTATCATCGAGTGAGAAAAAATAGCTTAGGTACGCAGCTTTTGATGTTATATTCATAATATTCATTACGAGACCAAACTCTGAATCTTTTATTCTTATCCATTTCGCATTATCCCAAAAAAAATCTATTAAATAGGTTTCATCGTTGTATATAATCCATTTGTTGCCAAATTGTTTAAAGTACTTTAAGTTTCTGACGTATGTAACAACGCCTTGGCTTAGGGTGGTTATTTGATTAAAACTGATATCCAAATAATCGAGAGCCTTTGGCAAACGGTTAGTACTGAGACTAGTTAGTTGGTTCTGTGAGACGTCCAGATATTTTAAGTTATTGTAGCCTTCTAATGAGTTATCAGGCAGTTGGGATAGTTGGTTCTGCTGAAGTATTAACACTGTCTTTCCTTTTATAGGAACAGGTAGAGCAGGTATAATTGAATGATCCTGCTGCGAGCAATCTATTGTAAAAATCATTTCAAGCTGACTATATTGGCAGTGACATTTGGAGGGACATGGAATGCCATTTATGCCTAGTGTAAAATTACATTCATTTTGAGTGGGAAAGCACACAAAAGCGGCCAGATTATTAAAGGCTATATATTGAAAAACAACTATGATTTCGAGCTTCGGAAAGTGGTCGAAGTTTTTCAAATCCACCGCACTGTGAACTTTGAGAGTGCAGTATTTTAATGATGATCGAAGTGCAGAAGATCTGAAAAGCAAATAGAAATTATTTTAAGGCTAATATACATATTTTTTACGAACCTCAAAAATTTCAAATCTTGTAAGTCACCGTCAATATACAGTTGATCCAAACTTGTTAATCCATCGAATGTTTCCTCCGTCAGGCCCACCACATTTAAGCCACTAAACAATAGTATTTGTAAGTCCTTTTTGCCTTCGAAAATATTTTTCTCAATTGTAAATGTTGGCTTTACCGATGTGGAGGCAATTATATGAATTTTCTTCGTATTGTTCATACTCTCTCGTATGTAATTATTGATAACCAAGGAGTTGACTGGGTTGTCATTTAAATATTTAAAATTTAACTCTTCAGCTCCAAGTTTGTACTTTATACCGTCCTCTGTTATTTTTATGGAAGGCACATTTATTTCAAATTTTATAGTTTCGTTTATGCCAAGCAGCCGTAGATAATGTGAAGAAGAACGAACTCTAATGTCATCGGCATTCGGTATTCCAGTCACAACCAATTTAAGTATTTCGCACTCAGTTTCATTTGAAATTTTGTAAATATTCCATCTCCCAAAAAAGCGATTAGTCCAAGTGAATTGTAAAATGGAAAAAAACAACTTCATTTGATAATCTTCAGTGGTTAAAATTCTGTTTTGTATGTTGCAGGTTCTGTTATCGCAAGATCCCTCGCAGTAGAGTTCACAGTAATCTGCTCTGATCCTGTCCAATCCTTTGATACAGGAAATTTTAGAAAGTTTAAAGAACACAAGGAATACAATAAACAGTATTTTTGCGGACATTTTACGATGCATGCTAAGCCGAACCTCGACTTAAACTAAATAGCAAGTGAATAAATTTTATAAATGTCAAAAGAAAAACGAAAAAACCACTAGGGAGCAATACAAATATATAAAAACTTACACTTGAGTGATTAAAAAAATATATATATTTGAATTATTATACCCAGTGCGCGTTTTATTTTTCTGGCATTGCAGTAGAAGTGTATTAATGAATGGTGGTTAATTATTATTTAAGATATTATGATGTATTTTATGTATTTTAAATATTATTATGTTCGCCTTGAATTTTGATCAGATATTTAAAATAAACGGCATGAGGATCAATAAATAATTATTTATGTTTATTAATATTAATAATTTTGAATTAGAACTATTTTACTCATCAAAGTGTGTATATTTGTATATATTTATAAAATTTGAAAAATTCGTCTTTTTTCCACACATATATTAATTTAATTTAATTACATACAATTTGAAGTCTATATCGCATTTTGTTGGCCGCCCATGAGGCGGAGAATTGGATAATTGATTTGTTTAATTAAAACGATACATTGTAGTTTGAAAAGCTAACAAAATCGGCTTTGAAATTTCGCATTCATCTGTTTACTTTAATCATAAAATAGTTCTGCCTGCATTTGTTTGTATTTCTAATTTTATTTAATTTACAATTCACCTATTGAATATTTTAGATTCCTGTACTCAATGGAATGTTCTACAACTGAGGCGCTTGTCCAAAGACGTTAAATTTTATTATTTCTTTGTCTCGAAAGCTTTAAGCAGGAGTGCTTAATTCCTATTATACAATCGATTGAATATATTCTTGTCAAATACGTTGAGACCCACCTTTATTTGCAGTCACACTTGCCCGGGACTTTACCTTAGTCCAGCTGAGTTCCTTTTTTTCGCCATTTGGCTCACATCCACGCCAGGGCTGCCCGTCTTTTCCCTCGTTATCCAAAGTCCCCCCGTGCACTCTGCGCGACCCGCCTTCCCAGTGCCTGGACTGTCAGACCTTCGTTGGTCACATGCCGTGGCAATTGATGTCAAATTTATAACGACAAATACTCGAAAAGTTTGCCACGTAGCCTGAACACACACTCATGCATTTATAGTGGCCCCAGACATGCCCACTTTTCACACCTCCCCCAGAACCGGCCCATCCCTACCCGTTCCGTCCCATCCCGTCCGCATTTCCCGTCCTAGTCCGGACCCGGCTGTTCAGATTTCGAGCATCATTATTGCTTTTTGATTTTTGGTGTGAATTTGCCGAGCAACACAGGTCCGGCAATAGTTGTGTGTATGTGTTTCTGTTGGCCCCCAGATGAGTTATGGCCAGCAGATCCGGGGAAGCCACGAAGAGCTCTTCGCTTGGCTGGAAGCTTGCCCAGGACACAGGCTGCAGTTGGGCCGCTGGGGATCCTTTTCGGTGGAGAGAACATATTAATGCAATTTTATTTAAATTACGCTACATTTATGCTCCTTGCTCGCTTTGATATATTTGTTTTTTATTCGCCGCCATCCCTTTCACCATCTCTACTCCATTTTGCGGCGAGGGGAAAACAGCAATCGGAACTGGTTTCCTTATTGTCCTTTTGTGCATTTCATATTGGCCTGTCGGCTGTCTGCAAAGTTTTCTGCCTCCGTTCGTCGGCACAAATATTTATGGCCATCAAACAATTTATGTCAACTGATAATTTTAAATGTTAATTAGGCTTGTTGGCCTGGCTTGGCCCAGAGAGCGGCCAATTATTAAAGATTTAATAAATGACAAATAAATTCATGTTCTACAGGAAGGATGAATTAAATGCAAATTGATATATTAATGTTAATAATTAAATTGTAGTAATGCGTATCCAATTGTCAGCGAGTTGTTATTATGCAATGCGGGTTGTCGGCTTGAAAGTTGGGCATGATAATGTGACTTTAACTGTTAAAGAGGTTAAATATGTGCCCGTTTTAAATGAAATTCTGCATCGGAAGTTAAGCGTCTTAATAAATCAAGCAGTCATTATTCATTGGAGCTGTTCACATGAGTCCCAGAAGTTTCAGACAATTTTGTAGCAATTGCGAAATCATTAAGTGAACTCTGTGAGGCGGAAAAAGACCTTAGGTAAATTGGAATTGCTTAATTTCACTCACATGCACATTGAAAATCACTCGGAATTGTTTGCGGACAGCCTTTGGGATGAGCTGTGGCCCCAAAGGAGCCGCAGGAACGGGAACGAGAACGGGAACTTTGCAATTATGGCTAAGGAATAGAAATTCCCGTCGAGCCGTCAAAACCGGAAATGGCAAAGTGGCAAAGCGCAAAGCGGAAATGGCAGGCACAACACAACGCAACGCAACAGAAAAATGCAAATTTCCACGAAAAGGAAATTATAAAAATATTTGTTGGCGTCGCACCTGCTTCCCCAACCCCCACCCCCTTCCTACCATCCTTCCTTCAGCACACCCCACCTATTTGAAAAATAGCAAAAGAATTTTTGCACGTGGATCGTCCTTGTTATTGCACTGACTTTTGTTGTTGCCGCCTGAAGTCCACTTGAAGCGACGTTCCCGCACTTTGGGACGAAGGTCCCACAACTTGGAGTGCTCCATCGTCTGGCGCAGGGTTTTTATTTTATTTTATTTTATTCCAGCGTGTTTTTGTTGTTGCTCGCCACTATATAACAAATAACAAGTAGCCCCACCGTATATATCGTAGCCCAGATATAAATGGCCGGGTGAGCGAGTAAATTTATGCACTGGCAAGTGAAAGGTGGAGTTCATATTTTAGCCAGCCAGCGAGCGATTTCAACTTTAATTATTTTTACAGGTGCAATTTATTTACATGAATTTCAATCTCCGCACCGGGGTATAAATTACCATAAACATCTCCTATATGTGGATATACGTATTGGGCTCTTCCATTTATACTTTTTTTTCACCTTATCCACTTGCCAGTGCTTTTTCCATGATGAATATTTAATGCACGGCAAAGGGGTGGGGGAAACCACTCGAAATGTCAGAAACAGCGAGACAGCAAAACGAGCATTACAAACAAAGGCTGCGCCAGACTTACTTTTCCGAGGCCTTTTTCGGAAATCATAAATGCACAAGCACAAACACACGTTTGCGATTGAGTGTGCGAGTGAGTGTGTCGATGCACAGGTGAAAAGCCAGGCAAAGTCAAATTAATTCCACTTAATTTGTTTTAACCACAAAAGCCAAAGTATCGAATACCAAATGCATGTCACTATATCTATCCAATTTTTACGTCCAATTCAGGCATTCCACCCATAAAGTTATTTTTATAATACAAAGTATACATTGGTTTTCGTTTCAAACAAAATATTTTAAATACAATTATTAAGGTAACATTTAATTGTCAATTCAATTTTTATACAAAGTGAGTGCATTCTGTCTTAATAAAAACCAAGGATTCTGCAAAATATTACATAAGCCTTTGTAATACATTTCAAGTAACATTTCTGTAAATATCTCACAACATTTGAGAAGTAACATTTCTGTACATATTTCACATTCTGTTACTTACATTTCCCACTTTTAAGAACTCTTCAAATGTTAGTACTCTAACAGTCTGTCGCGCTCTTCCTGTTAGACTTAACATTTTCTCTTTAACTGTAAGGACACACTGTTAGAAAAAAATCCCATGTAAACCTTTATCATGTTCCCCACTTTTACTTTTAAGAAAATTGACCAAGCAAAGCTGCTAACTTACATTTCCCTGAAATAACGGTAATTTCACCCCTTCATGGACCTGAATTTCCCGGAAGCTTTAAAGTTTCGGCTAATAATTTTCTTAATTTAACAGTAGCTTTTCTAAACAGCAACCCACCCTCTAAGTTTGCTGTTCCCGAACCTATATCTCGGCTCCTATTGGCTGGCCCTGGTTATAAAAGTCAAGGCTGTGCCCAATTGAAGTTTAGTTAACTCTTGGAGCCGCTCAGAGGCTGCAGCTCGAGGATGTGACGGACTCCAGGATCTCCCTGTCAGTTGGAAGCAAGAAGAACCAAAAACTACTATTAATAATATTATTACAAAATATCCCAACAATTAAAAATTGTGTGTAAAATAATGGTAGCAGCTATACCAACACAAGCCTTAAACTTAAAACCAAAACTAAATTGTTAAGCTAAACAATAATATTTGCAATAAATAAAGATTTATCTTTGCATGCGTTTTACTGGTGGAACGGTTTTTTAGTTTTTGATAAATAAAGTAAATACAAAAAAAAAGAAAAAAAAATAAAATTTTTCATTTTAATTTAATACATTTTAACAAACTCACTCGTTAAGCGCTGTCCACCCTAACACCTCTATCTACGTTTTGACTGGCCTCAGGGAGCATTGTGTGTGTTCGGATTAAGAGGAAAAAAGAGTGTCACTGAACTAAGAATGGTAGACATAGAGAAATAGGCAATAAGAATTTAACCTATTTTACCTATCGAAGATGGATGACAAGATTGCAACGGCATTCTTCTATAACACCCTACCTGTGTAGTATCATCAGACTCCACCCTAAAACAACCGTTATTCACGTTAAACGAATAATTTCACGTCCTTTAAAATAATTTGTCGGAGTACATTTATACAAACAAATGTCGTCCTCCTGGTACCCTGTAACTTACGATGAAAAACATTCTTGCAAAATAATATATTTATAGCATAATTCACGAGTAGAAAACTGAGAAAGCTGAACTAAGAGAGTTTTAAGATTAAATAATGTTCGTAAATATTTTTATCGTATATGTCTTAGGACTAGCGGAAAATTTATGTTCCTTAGGTCTGCTCTGACTTTTAAATTTTGCGCGTACTTCCATTTTTACCACCAATGATTTGGTTTGAATAAATTTAAAATAACTAATGGCTTTGTAACCTCTATAGTTTAATTTTTATCAAAATTGGCTGCAAAATAGTTAAAGCTTTGCCGGGTGTTTCGAGTCTGTTGTACCCTGTTCTTAATTACCTATAATTTCTACATCAATGTAAAATATATTAGGCGAATTAATAAAATGTAAAAATCAAATGTAAATACACAAACATTTTACATGTAACTATATAGGAATATCTACATTTTCATGTAAATGTAACATCTGTTTAACAATGTACTAAATAAATACGAAAGGTTTATAATCTTCTTATTAAATTTAACCCTTATAGTGCAAAACGGTTGGAAAAAGGGTTTCGGGAAAATAAAAATAAGTAGTGGTTAGTAATAGTCTTCACACTGTTGATGCTGATGCAATCCACGATGAAACATTGCGACGAAGTTCTGAATTTTATACTTGGTGTTCAATTTTTTATTTTGGAATCATTTAGTTAACTAACTTGATCCAATGATAACTGCCACAATGCAAATGTTTATGAAATTCATCTGCTGAGAACAGCAACAAATTTAACTTGACCCGACTGAAACTTCTTTATCTATTATAGCTTTTTTTCCTTATTTGACTTTAAAAATCTAAAAGGCTGATCGAAATGAAGACGTTCCCAATAGTTGTTACCCAATTATGAAACTATAAAAGCCATTCCACAAAATGACTTTAGCTTTCATTGCTTGCAGAGAATCCAACACGAGCTGGTGCCATTATTTATTTTACCCTTTTATTACACATAAGTAATGTCTTTGGGGGAAGTCACCCTCGAATGACTCTCGACCGCTTTTAACCCAACTCAAAAACTCCAATTACGACCTAATTAACAGCGCCTAATTACATCCTGCCCCGCCCACTGCGCCCCCGAAGGAACACCACCTATAACCTTAAACGCATTTCTCTTGTGCAGTTCACCAGAGTCACTGGAAAATTAAATGTTACGCGAATTCTACGCTCTTTTATTTTTTTTTATTTTCGCCAATTTGGCAAAGTCGAAAGGAGGAAGCCGAACTACTTGAGGCTGGAAACAATTTATTGGAAATGCAATTGAAAATGCAGCAGGCGTGTCGAGGTCGATTCAGAAAAATGCCAGCAATCGAAACGTTTTGAACTTGCGGCAATAAATTCTTCGGTTTTTGGCAAGCTATAAAACATCCAAAAGGAAATAAAAATCCTAATGAAGAGCCAGGGCTCAGTCAGTCAGAGCCTACAAATTGTATTATAAAGTTATACGCTTCCATTTTTTTTGTGTTCACAGCACTCAAGGACTGTTTTTCGTTTTGTGGCTTCATATTCATTGGAAAATTACTCACGTAATGGGGGGGAAGACACGGAGAATATGGGTACGATGAACGTTAGTTGGGCCAAAGAGCCGGAAAAGTCGACTACTTTTGATCTTTAACTTCATTTGATACGCCCAAAGTCCATGGAGAACATTAAACTATCCCTCAACTAAACGGACTAATTCCAGTTTTCAACTTATTTACTCTTTTCCATGTCCATCTCGGGCTGGCAAACAAGTTGTCCCGACCAGACCACCGGACTATCCATGACTGGCTGGCTAACAAGTCGTTTAACGCCCACTCAGCTCCTGTTCCTAGTCCTTCCGATCCCGAGCCCCTAAACATATGCCACAAATAATTTGTTATTCAATACGAAACACGAAAAAGTACACAAAGCGGCAAACGAGCTTCAACAATTCAACACACACTGGACATTTACTAAATTGGCTAACAACTTTTTGTTCGGCTTCGCTCTTGCTGTTGCTGTTGCTATTGTTGTTACGTGATTGTCCGGTGAGAGTGTGTGAGTGCGTATCTGTGTGGGGACGGAACAGCATGTTGTTCTGTGCTGTGTGCCATATGCTTGACCACAAGCAAAAACCAAACCAGACGAATGGCTGGGAGGGGGGAAAACATCAAGCCGTCCAAAAAGGAAAAAGATTTCATGGGACAGATGACACGGAGGACTTTCGGAACAGCATGACAGTCCGGATTGAGGCGTGGGATCAGGGTGTCGAAAGGGTTTGTCGCGGCCAATTAATCGCTACGACTTTCAGGCCCATTTGAGATTGAACACCCAAAAATGTAAGTAAGCTGTTACATCCAAAACATTTAAAGATGGTTAAGATTGACCTTATTAGCACTCAGCAAGTCTTTAGGATACTTTCTTCAGATTTACTCTGCAATCAGCTTCGCAAGTCACCCAATTAACAATAGTTCACTTTGCCTAACATAAGTAAGTCATACAATATTAGAGTAGTAAATGGAGTATTTTTAATTAATAAATAGTACTAATTGTAAAATAAAAAATTGTCATATTAATACAAATTTTGTATCATCATTATAATATTTTTAGGTGCATTTCCGTACTGAAGTAAAGTTTAAAATATTTTACTGCTTTTAAACCTAGTGTCAGTCAACGGACCTTAGCCCAGACAGTACTTACACCATTTTTTACCATTAGGTACTTAGGGTTATTTTATGTATGTCTGTTCCCCTCACTTCCTTCACCTAGATTGTTTTCCTTGGCATTCCCCTCCACTTTCTTTGTTGTTTACGCTACGGCCACTTGAGCTGCTTTTATTTTATTGAAGATTTGTATCAAAATGTCAACAGGAGCGCCAGTCAACAACAACTATAGGAAAAGAACTGGGGAAAAATGCAGAAGTTGCTCTTTTGATGTGGGTTGTGTGTCTCAAGTTCCATTCTCACTCCATCTTCTGCTGCGATGTTTTTGTGTTTTCGTAGCATTTGAGCAAATAAAATGTTTGCTTAAAAAATTGCAGACATGCATTGCCAGTTGCCTTGTCTCGTGTTTTCCTTTTACGTTTCTTTTCTTTTTTTTCTGTGCTTAAGTTGAAAATGTTGAAATGCTCATTTCTATCAAGTTTGCCATTCTCCGTTTTCTGGGAATTTTTGGGTAGTCAGGAATTTACTGCAGTCACGACTTCAGCCTGACACAAATACATTTAAAAATGTGCTAACATATGTTTGCTGCCCGCCAGAAGCTCACATATTTCTTCTCCATCCGCTGCGTTGACAGAGCCCCCGAAGCCCCCGGAAAACCCAAAAACACCCATCTTATCACCCATCCTGAACCAGTGAGCAACTAACGACAGTTGGCATTTAAGTTCGGATAATGCGAACTGGGGCGGAATTTGGGGGACCCTGCCAAGCTTATCAGAGAGTGTGTGAAGATAATCTGCTAAGCTATATACAACTCTGATTTGAGCTCCAAGTGACTTAGGGGTAAAAATAAGTTTGGCAATGGGGTGGTTACAAAACTAGATGGTGGTTAATTACATGGTTTTATCGAAAAAGAAATTTAAGATGTAAGAGATTTCTTAAATATAAATAACATTTGATATTCTTAAAGGATACAAATTTTGTGTTTTTCCAGCTTTCCTTTTTTGTACTTTATCCAAAAAAAGGCAATTTAACACATTTTCCAACGTATTCGAATTCTTGAGACAAATTACACTCAGCCGTCAGAGACTGAGTTCCTTGCTGATCCGATCCCCAGACATGTAAGACGTGAAATATTTAATATACTTTCCCTTGTTCTCCTATTCCAAACCCATTCAGCTTCATCCCCATCAACAACATCGAATCAACACAAGAACAAATTCAATTACTCAACACTGGAGCAACATTGGTGGGGATAGAGAATGCTGCGAATGCGAATGGATCGGAGGGGGTTGAGTGCGGCGCGGGAGTGACATTAATGCGATTCCAGCAACTGTCAATCATATTAGTATTGCCAAAGCAATTGCCAAAAATAATGTTCGACTCTTGTTTTTCTGGCACTTTATTTTTATTCGCCCGCTCTTTGATGAGCAGCCCAATTCTGAATTTGCAATTTAATCGATTGCGTCTAAAAATGTACAAATAAATTGCTGTAAATATTTGTGTTAGCTGTGAAGTTCGGGGAATATTATTTCTTCTTGAATTATAAAAATTATATTAAAATGTAAAACTAAATTTTGATTTTTATAAATTTTAATAAGTTATTTTAGATGATTTAAGAAAAATATTATTTTCAAAATATGACCACAAGTTTTAATTACTACAAACTTAATTAAAATATTTTAAAGCCACAGTATACATGTTTAAAAAAGCATAAAGTAAAACGAATTCTTCATGAATTAACTAGGAAATTTTATAAGAAAAGGCCAAGGTAATTTGAAATTCCTCCACTTTTAGAGGCAGCGTATTCCAAACTGCTCGATGTCAATTACCCAACGAATAAATAACACCCTTGACACACTCATTAACACCCTATTCCCTATTCCCTGGATCCTTTCGCCCTCGATGCCGCAGTGCAGAAAGAAACACAAACAGAATCGCTTTCAACATATTTCGAAGCGAAATCGAATGTCGAACGTTTGTCGGACAGATTAAAAATACAATTTACGGCAAATCAATTGCGGCTAACATGGCAACGACGAGGACGACGGAGAGGCAAGGAAAAAAGGCGAAAATTAAAATGGCCACCGCAAGGAAAACAGTTGGAGCAAAAAATGAAAAGCAAACAATGGGAGGACCGAATTCCGGAAAATCGAAAAATGAAAGGCATCCCACACAGAACAAAAAAAAAAGAAGAAAAGGACGACAACAATAAGGCTGGCGATAGCAACAGCTGTTGGCATAAATTTGTATAAATAATAAACAATTCACGGGGACAACTCCTGGACGATCTCCGGTTCTGGTGGCTTCTGATTCTCGCCTTCCGCTCTTTCCCCTTCCACTTGATTTTCCTGCTGGCCACGAGATTCACCCAAAACCTTGGAGCGCAGCACCTGCATCTCGAAGGCGCGAACTGTGAGCAAACGCTCCTCGCGAGTCAGTTGGGCAAAGTAGATGACGCCCATCACGTAGGAGCGCACATCCTGAATGTAATCGACCACGGGTCCGGCACCCTGAGGAATGGGCAGTCCGGCCAGGATCTTGCCCATCGATTCCTTCATCTCGGTCGGACACACCACCTCAATCACAATGCAAAGCGATGCAAAGGCACCCAGAATGGTGCACAGAGTCATCAATCCATAATCGCACCACATCCGCCCGTGGCACACAATCTGCACAGTGCGAAAAGTTATCCTTTCGAATCCACACCAGCCCAACAGCATAATTAGTTCGGTGAAGAAGATTGTGAAAAAAAGATCGCCGCAAGCGAAAACCCTTGGTGAATATTTCTTCAATTTCCTGGGAATCATGTCGGAGTCCCAGAACAGCAAAAGCACGGCCGCCAGAAAGATATAGCTTCCCGCGGAGGGAGCCGGCGAGCACTGATCCTCTGGCTGAGACACGAAGAAGGATATGCCCAAGATGTGGAGCAGGCCGGCAATCGCAATCGTTGTCGGGCTCACCATCTTGCCACTTTTTCGGTTTCGGAAAAAATAATTTATGTAGTTGCTCGGAAATTCTCTCTTCTGCCTATCGACTTCTAAATCTTTTGAACAGCTTACTTGGGAGTTTCTTCAACTGATAAACATATCAATTGGGTGTCAGTCTGCTGAACTGATAAGTCAAATGAAAGCCAACCGAAGCCACCTGCTGGCTTTGTGGCTCCTTCTGCTTTTCAGGACTTACACAAAAACATTTTTACACTCTCTGCAGATGCCGGCAGATCCCCGAGCTCCCTTGGCCTTTAAACACGTCATAAGCTTGTGGGCTGCCATCCTGGCTCAGCTTGGCCTTAACATTTATTGCATACTTTTGAGGGCCATGGCTTATAAAGCACATTCTGAAGTGGCGTAGGTGTACGATGCTCTACCGCATTTGGTCAACATGTTCGCAACATGCAATCTGTTGCAGGTCAGAAATTATCACTTAATAAATAATATGTAATGTTTGATATACACGTTTGAAAAGTTATAAGAATTCTTGAACTTTTACATAATTAATTTACATTTTTAAATGTACATTTTTATTATAATTTATTGAATTTTTAACGCTTAAATAATTGACTTCTTTATATTTGCTTTCAATGGAGTAGAGTAGGTAGAGTATTCAAAACCGAATAAGGCAATAATTAAAATAGTCACATTTCACTCCTGTTGGCATTTGCTCCTTGGCCTCTTTGGAATTTATATTGGGCACTTTTCGGACGTCTTTCTGGCTACAGTTTGTGTGATTTTAACTGGCCTCATAAATTATTTGTAGCCGAAAAAAAGCAAGTTTTAGTGCACACTTTGTGGCACGCCCACAAACAAACAGACACTTAATGTGCCATCAAACAATTTCATGGGCTGTATAAGGCCTCACAACAGCTTTGACATTTAAGCGTGACAAATTTGTGGAAAAGTCAAACACTTTAAATTATCATAACCTCAGGCCCAAAACATAGGTTTGCCAGAGGCGCCGCCCCTCCGTTAAACAAACATTGACCAAAGTCAATGACAAAACTTTTCGGTGCAGCAATAAAAATCAACATTATTATGCTAATTGGCTTGGTTGGGAGCCGTGGAGCGGAAGAAGGAGGCCAAGCCCTGCGGCGCTCCCCGGATGGGTCAAGATTTTAATCTCTAAATTAGTTTACAAAATACGCAAGTATTTTCCTGGAATTTTTTAACCGAGTGCCTTAGGTCAGGTACGAACAATCAGGTTGGAAAAGAATGCCTAAAAGCATGTGGCCCTTATTTGTCTTATAGGAAGACGGAGGCAAAAGGTTCCTTTGTTAACTGCGTAAAGTTTTCACTTGCTAATTTTTTCCTTTTTTTACCTTCATTCTTTTTCAGCCAAAAAATAATAAGTAAACATTATTTATTTTAAAGGAAGCGGCAGCCAAAGCCGTTGCATATCCCCGGGCGTTTGAAAGTGGAAACAATACCGGAACGGAGGAAGTTGGCTTGTCATGGTCGCGGGCAGGACGTCAAAGTAATTAAACAAAAGTAATTAAGATTAGCGGACTCGGAGTAGCTCCGAGTCATCAGCGCGGCTCTCACCTCGCAGCCCGTTGCCATTATGCTCATTATCATTATCATAGTGAGCCGGGGCAGGCGCAAAAGGTAAGGTTGATGCTAAAACGCAACAATATGAAAAGCTCCCTGACAACTTTGACGTCATTATGGCTGGCCATCTCCCACGGGCTCCGTGTATATATATATATTAATGTGGCGTTTCCTTACCCTTTTGGCCCGTCAAGGACTCCTCCTCGGGGGTATTTGGCAAATTATTATTGTTATGAAAAGTTTAGCCGAACAAAGCTAATGATCTTTAAAGATTAGTTTCGAACAAAAACAGCTCGCTACTGGACGCGGGCAATCAACAAGGGGTCACGACCCCCCAGGAACAATCATCATCAGGCACTAAACTTAATCGACAGCTGACTTGCCATATTTCTCCCTCGACCCTTGAACCCTCAATCGAATCGGCGTGCTTCATTAACTCCCACACACTTTCACCGCCCGCCCCGCCATATCATTCCAATCCTTCATTGGCTTAACTCCTGGCTATCATCAACTAAAAAGAAAATCCCTTCGACTCTGATTCCCTCGGATTTGGAACGCTCGCCAAAGTTTCGGCCAACAACTTTCGCAGATATTTGGCTGCTTAAATTATATTTCCCACTGCCAAAGGTCGGGTTTAAGCGTTGATAGGCTAGCGTTCCAGTCCCAGCCACGCACCGAACGAGATTTATTAGCATTCAAAGAGGCATTTTAGCCTGCCGCTTACCTCCTGTGTATGGGGTAATTTTTCACCAGACCAACTTTTGTTTTGATTAAATGAAGCTTAACGAGCGACCGCACAAGCCGAAAGCAAGTGCACTGTGAAAAAGAAAAAATAAATTACCAAATTAATCAGGGAAAATAATAAATATATGTTGGGTTAATATTTTGCAGACCAATTTAAGCCATTTAATCCTAAAATTTAATTTGTAATCTAATCAAATTTATGATGGCCATAAAGCAAACAATATATAATCTAAACAAAAGCTGATTAATTTTTCATTAAATTAAACACCATATAATTAAAGGTCATTTTTAACAACATTTATTTCTCTTACTGCAGCAGCGGCTACGTGTTACTCATAGACTGGTCTTAGCCGAGCTCGAGGTGCTGCCAACTAACTAATGAGCTGATTTACAGCCCAACACGTCCGGGACAAAGGCCAAGGACTGCAGTTTGCCAAAAGGTGAATGGCTGGGGAGTGAGAATCGGGAATCGGGGATCCTACGATTCGAGGATTCGAGGTGGAGCGAGGTCGTATGACAAATGCGCTTTTGTGTTATTTATGGTGACCGCAGGACAAGATGTTCTACGTGCGGTCATTAGGCCTGTAGGCGTTACTGCCTCACCATATAAAGGCAATTTGTAGTGGTTATCGATGTTCTACGACCGACTTTGCAATGCTGGGGGAAATAAAAGTTTGGCAATTTTTAATACACGTCTAAAAAGCATTCTTTATCTTTGAGAGCCTTACCTAAACAATTCTTGTAAAATTGTAATTTGGGTTTTGTCAAATAAAGCAAGTAAACGAAGTTTACAGAAGTTATGCACGTTTATACTTAAGTATTAAATATTTAAAATCTTTCTATATCTTATTTGAATTTGTTTTCCCAGCGATTATCCCTAATTACTCTGTATATATATACCTACTGTAGCCAATCAGGCGAAGGACAAACGCAATCCCGGCGAACTAAGCCCAACTGACAAATTGTAATTGTGTGACAAACAAGCGGAAATCGGCTTAAACTTGCCTTGCCACAAAGGAAATCCGCAGAAGGTGGCAACGGATGGTTTAGGGCATGACTTCCTTTATTGAGTTATTAGCCGCACATCTTGGCAGCTCGCTTTTAGGCCGTGTGGCAAGTCAATTTGTCAGTGGTAAAAGTTCAGTCGCGCTTAGTCATGATTGCTAATAAAGTGCAGACAGATTTTTTTTAAAAGGTGGAGGCAATGATCAACCTATTGACAAGCGAGTGAAATGCTAATTTTCATTTGGCAGCAATGAAAAAGCAAAAATCGCTTTAAATTTTTATACGATGGTTGACTGGGTGATCCTTTTACGGTATTTTCCCATTCCTTTATTTTCAAAACGTTCTATTTAATGGTTTGCAAACAATACAAAATACTCTTTAAATAATTTTTCACAGATTTTCCCCGATTAAATCAGATTAAAACAGAATCCAATTGATTTTTAACTGATTTAAAATACCTAAAAATTATCTAAAATCCGTTTAAGTTACAATCGGGTTCACTTAACATAGAAATTTGCTAAGAGATACATAACATCCTTAAAAATATCAAGCTCCGTTTTAAGTGGAGGGAAAACACAAATATTTTCCCGTATAATAAGCCCTCATCGAGTGCCAGAAAAAGTGAAATAAAAAATGTTCTACTTGCTAGGTGCTAAAGGGCACTTATGCGTAACATTGCGTAAGTGCAGCTGTCAGATAAAACGAGGGGGTGGCATGGGGGGAAAATCGGGGGAAATACAGCAAAGTGCATGCCAGCTTGAGTGTGAAAATTGCTGGAAAAATGAATGCATGCTTACGGGGAGTCAGTTTTGATTCCATTCCATTTTCGACTTGACTGGGGAAAATGGAAATGCGACGTCAGCCTGCGGTTTTTTCAACCCTCTTAATACGTGATGTTATTACGTTTGTTGGCCCACCAAAAAGAAAAGGGACTACAAATCTCCGCCCATTAAACTTTCGATTCTCATCTTAAATCTTGTTTTATTACCCCGCCGATTTTTACACATGCACTGTTTTCTTTTGTAAACTCGTATATCCCAGGAATAAATCTTCCCCAGACGGGCTATGGCGAAACTTTCTCGATAGTATTCCCCAAACTAGTTTACCTCATTTGGGCAGTCCTTAGCACAGAGACCAGACTGCAAGGCATACTTAACCAAAGTCGCAGACAAACTGCAAAAGGAATTGTGAATAAATATATCTACACAGGAAAACAGGAACCAAACTTTCCATTTTCAATTTGCTGCAGACTTTGGCTAAGTACCAGAGAAGCAGGTCCAGCATTTCCGCCCGGTTCTATTTTTTTTTTTTTTTTTGTATTTGGTATGGGTCTGTCTACTTTAACTCGCATTGAACTGGAAGAATAACATTGAACAGCAAACAATCAGCAGTCAAAAATTTCATTGTTAAGGCAGCAGCGGGAAAAATAGGAAAACAAGTAGGGAGAAAAACAGGAAAGTTTCGGACAAGGCGTGAAAAATACAAAAAGACTGGGAGAGAGAAAAAAAACTTTTGCCATGGTGAGAAAAACTTTACAAAGCAGCCAACAAAGTGTTGTAATGGCCAGCATCCAAGGGGATCCCCCGTCCAACGCTTGACTTTTGACCCAACGAAGCGAATGTGTTGCAACGACCTTTGTGGCCTTTCCACCCCCTCCCCCGTCGCTTCATCCTGTTTTGGTCACATGCTGGCGCAACAGTCGGCCACGCCCACTCCAAGCCCAGCACCTCTGGGAATCCCCCCACAATGAACTTGCCAAGCGACGGTGCACGTTTCCTTGGGTGTGTGCAGGGGAGTCCCAGAGAGGGGGTCAGAGGGCAGTCATCTTGTCTGCCGTCTAGCCTTGTCCGTTTTAATGTTTTTGGCATTGAGCGATGTCCGTGATTTGAAAGAGTTCATTAAGCTGGTTCAGTATGGCCAACAGGGAGACTTTATCACTCGCAACTCAAATATGTGTATATATGTATCTATCGATCTATCTATCTATTCACTGCAAATATGTATAATATACATTGTATATCACCCTACTTGAAATTAACTTTAAAGCTGCTTTATATTGCTGAGATTTCTTTGCCAAATGATTTGAACTAATTTCCTTGAAAAAGTTTATATGTTAAACTAAGTAAGAACGTGAAAAAATTTAAAGTTAAATTTATTCAAATAATATATAAAGATTTTTAGGAAATAATTAAGCCATAAAGCCTCTTTAGAATGTAAATAATACAAAAATCAAATAAATAAATCCAGAAGTAAAACCTTATGTGTTAATTATAACAGAAATAAACTTCTCAATAAACTTGCCACCAATTGACCAGCTTTGCTAACTCAGTCAGCCATGAAACGCAATTATCACCCTCAATTAGATGGTCCTGCATCAGCGAAAAGCGAATAAGCAGAGCTTGCAAATTGAATATCTCAAATTAATTGCACTTTTTCGTCCACAAACACACACACAGAGGGACTTAAATAAAATGCAAATAAATTTAATTAACTTGTCTAATTAAATATTTGCCTTCAAATAGCAATATGCAGCCAGTCAACAACTCCGTGTTTTGATTTTGTTTTCATTTTGGCTTAATTCGATTATTATTAAAAGGGTTCACAGCCGGAACGAGCCGAAAGGTTCGACAGCGAAATTGGCTCGCAACTCGAACATCGAGAGGTGGTTTTGGGGCATGAATTTTGGGGGTTGGCGTTTCCGGGCGAACTCTGTTAACATTTTTGTCGCGTGTTTTGCGGTCTGTTGTTGTGGTTGCGGTTGCACGCAAACTGCAAGCCCCCGAACACAACAAGGATACCGCCAGCCGGCAACAATAACAACCAATGGACAGCATCCTGCGTCCTTTGGTTGGCTTAAAACGAACCTCCACTTCGGCTCGCTCTTTCGGCCGTCGGCTGTCGGCTCGTCCCGGCCTGTTATCACTCGTCCAAAGCGGCGTATACGTAACAGCACTTTTCATTCGTTGGATTTTCATTGCTTGTTGTTGGTGGAAGCCCAGAGACCGGCTCTGTGCGAGCGTTGAGTGTCCTCGGGAAATCAGTTTCGCAACGGATTCTGCACGAAGCGGACGCGTTTTGTTCACAGTTTTCCTGAAAACGTTAGTGAAAGATCACGGCTAAGGGAAAGTCGTACTCGAGTGCCATGTGATCAATGCAAAAGTATGCGCACCTAACTTAAAGTGATCGTGTATTTTCATTTACTGTACTTCATACCAAAATGGCACAAAATGTACACTAAAAACTCGTTTACATAAATGTAAAACTAAAAATTAAGAAGCTTGTAAGCAACACTTTTAAAGTTGACGATATTTAAATATGTTTGGAAGAAGAAGAAGCTTGAGAATCGTTTTTTTAATAATTTAGACACACTTAAATAAAAAAAAACATCGATTCTTGTATTTCCTAAATTTTAAAGAAATTCTAGATCAAGAGAAAAAGTTGATCACACACGCTTCGGATGTACTTTTATAAATTTAAAATAAATGTTATGTTTTGAAAGCTTAACCTTGTAAATTTTAGAAAGAAAACTTTTTAAAAATGCTAAAATATTATTTAAATAGTTTACTTGTAAATGAGAAAGAGCTTTTAGAGTCTTTTAAGCCCAGATTTTAAACTCATTGCTGTTTAATTAAACTAAGCCCTAATAAACTTAAATCAGAAATTTTGCATTGCGATCGATAAAGGGGATAGAGATAGTACAGATAAAAAATATATCGTTTTATATAAATGTTATACTTTAGGCTATAAGTGGGCTTGGTTTTCAATATAAGATCAAAATGAGAAAAAAGTTCGGATTCGGAGATTCCATTAAGTCAATTAATGTCTACTATTTATTTTAGTGCCCTTTATTCAAACAAACTCTCAAATTGCTGAGCACCATTTTAACGTTAACCACAACTACAATCCAAACCACACTCACATGTCACTTGTGAGACACTCGAAATGGGTAAACAATTAACAGTTAACTCTGCTAATGCACATTTCATGCCAACAAAAAGTAAACAAACAGCGAGACTAACTCCATGACCCTCGAAGTCCTGAAATCCCAAAACCGGCAAACACGCACACACAACGGCACTCTTGAATCTCTGAAAAATTCCCAAACAAACTTATAAGCGAATAAATGAATCCACTAGAGTTCACTTTGGGACAACTCGCAAAAAGAAGTTGAAGGGGAATTTTGTTGGGATTGATAAAGGACTGCAGTTGTTGGCACTGCAACGCAACGCACAACAGACAAACACAGCCGAAAACAGCAAGGCAAATATAAACAAAGAATTTAGCTTAAAAATACATTAACCCACTGCAATCATGGAGAGCCGGGATATGCAGGGAAAAGGGCCAGGACCCGTCTGCCAACTGCTGGAAACTTGCATACGTAATGGGGTAGAGAGAGTGAGCGCGTGCGAGTACAGTGAAGATTATCTAGTGGTGGACTATATAAATATTTAGTTTCAACTTATATCAAAACATCCTCTTTGAAGACCAAAGCTAAAATATTATTTCTTACCATTTATTTTATTTGAAATTGCAGTAGCGGACAAATAAATCTGATATTCTCTTCAACTATGGGCGGCTAATATTATTTCTTACTATTTACTTTATTTGAAAGTGCAGTAGCGGACAAATAAATCTAATATTCTCTTCAATTAAAGCTTTTAATAACAATTTTTTGGATTGTTTCAGTTTATCATACAAATAAATACAGACACATTTGTTACAAATGATTTATTAATTACCTTGGAATTCCAACCTTCTGGTGACACGGAATTTGTTTCTTTAATTTTTGTAGCATTTAATAATTTTTATAAACAATGCTGTCAGCAGTTATATTTTACAATCGATTCATCATTTAAATATATATTCAATTTTTTATTTACATTCGAGAAATCTAAAGAAGCTTACTTACACTATTGGACTCAGTGTCTATTATCTTGCATTTAGTCCCCACTGTAGAATGGGTTGTTTTGCATTCAAGCATCATTGCAGATCAATGGCAATATAGAGCTCATGCAGTGCGAGTAAGACACGTAGTCACACAGAGAGCAGGAGAAGGATAGAAGACTCCTCGATGTCAGCTGTTTCCGAACTTTTTGTCAGCAGCCCGGGCCAGGCTTATTGCCTCTTTATTTATTTCCATCTTTTTTTTAAATTTCTTTTTGAGTTCAGTTCTGTATCGTTTTGTTTGCTGGAATTTGGTTTGTCGTTTGCTGCTATAACTTTACAAATTGTGTAGAGGAAAGCAAACAAAATTGCAAAACAGTGATGCTGTCGATGATGATGATGACAAAAATATGGATATTTTGTGTGCTAGAGTTTTGATCAAAAGTAAGAATTTATTGATGCGTTTATTTGGTAAATATGAGATTTTAAATTGCCACTTTTTGTGCAGACTTAAAACAGAATATAACTTCATTCATTTGTTTACAAATGGAACTCAATAAATGGTATATTATGCAAAAATGAAGCAAAGTAAACATACATTATTACATTGTCATATTTAAAAGTACGGTAATTACTTTGCTAAAACAAACATTAAAATTAAAAATATTTGAAATTTAAATGGACAGGCATTCTATCAGCATTTAGGATGTCCTCCCCTGTGCGACTTTTAAATACAAATACATTTGGCCACAGGTATACTTAACTTCTCCTTCCCGGCAACCTTTTTCAAACTCACTTTTTTGCCCTCCATTACCATGGAAATACGGACGTTAACAGCTGTCAAGCATTAAGCGGAGCTTAGGAGAAATCGCCTGAGGACATGGACCAATTTTCTTATGCTGATAATTTACACAGTGGCCAAGTCGAGGCTGTCAGGGCTTATTATTGTTTTCACAACGCCTTTTAAATATTTTTAAGCTCAACTAGAAAATACATAGGTAACGTTTCTAAGTGCCACTCTAAAATCCTTGTAACTGGTACGCTTACTGTAGTGAAAGTTTATTTTAAATTCATTAGCTTTCATATTATAACTGCATAATTTTAATTCACATCCGTTCGGCTAAACTTTCGAAAACCCCACAACAATTATAAGCCAATTTGTTTTACCAAAAGTTATCATTCAAAAACAGAACAAGCCAAAGCCAAACACTAAATAGCCTCATTAAATTTTAATTTCCTAGCATAAAAATAAAGGAAAAACACAAACACATTTGGAACAAGTTTCCCCCCAACAATTTATTAATTTAATTACAAACACTTTGCCAAACTCATAAAAAAGTGCATAAAATTTGTTGGACTTCTTGTTCTTGTTTTTGATGGTAAATCTGTTTTGGTCCATACCAAAAAAGCTTCATCATGTGTGAGTGGCGAAAGAGGAGGGGAGGCGGAAAAAATTGCTTAATTTCATAAGCGAGTCATAAGGGAAAAAGTTTTGTCTCTCTGTGTCTGTGTAAGTGTTTGCCAAGCTGCGTGTGGACCCCACAAAAAGCTGAAGGCGACACGCTTAAAAGCCATAAAAAATAAAATTTTCCTACATAAAGTTTTGGATGAGATGGCCAAGAAACAGCAACGAAACAATAGGGGAATGTGCGTGACACAACTATAATGCAAAAAAATTGGGAGTTTAAATGGCCACATTAGGATTGATTTCGAAATGGTTTATTTTGAAAAGCCCATAAATGGACACCTTAGGGAACAATAAAACCTGATTACAATTCAAAAATTCTTATTAATTCTTAATATTTTTCAAACCAAAATATTTATTTAGGAATAAACGATCTTTTCTGGTTTTTTTTTTATAAAATGTTTTATAAAAATATGTTCTTTATGCTCACGTTAGAGTAAGAAAATTTGTCACATTATTTTATCAAGCCGAAACAAAAATATTTCCTTTGTCAGTCGTATACAATAGCTACAAGCGAAACGCACTGTATTTGAGCCATGGTACCTTACCCACATTTCTGTTAGAGAAACTTAAGATATGCATTATAAAATTGACAAAAATAAAGTTGTAAAAGTATAAAATAAAGCCAGGGAAGGATGGAGCAAACGAAGAAACCAAAACTTAAGATAAACAACAAATGAAAAGAGCATTTAAATTAATTGGCATAAACTTGGCTGTCTGCACATGTGGTATAGAAACTTTTATTTTGCCGACATTTCCTGAAGTTTGCAGACTCTAGTACCTTTACATGCTTTCAAAGATAAATTATGTATTTTTGTACGATTTTCGGTTAGGCCTTTCCCGACTTTTAATTTTGTCCACAGATAAACCTTATAAAATAGGAACATTTATCAACTGGCCGCCAGAGGGCGCTCAAGTTCCTGCTTGCGAGGCAAATCTTTATGACTTTTTGGTTATTCCGTTGACTCTTTTTCCTTTTTGGTGGCTTAAACTTTGCTGCAACACGTGCGAACCGCCTACGTAAAGGGGGCGTGGCAGGCAGCTAGCATACGGCTCTATGGCATAATATTTTGCCAAACTTTATTGAATTCCCCAGCAAATCTGCATGGCATCTGTGTGCATGCGTTGAAAGTTACTAGACAGCAAACAATTGGGCAGAACAGGGAAGTGGGAATCCAGTGCATTGAAAGCAAATTTATGGGTGCTAAAGTCAAATGGAAAACTCAAGAATTAAGGCAGTTTTTTCATTTACTTTTCGTATGGAAAAAAAGTCAGAGTTGAAAGTTAAAAAGAACTATGCACAACAAAAAATACAGATTTTTTTGCAACAAATATATACTCCTTAAAGAATATTTTCTTCTAAAAATCGGATTAAAATATATGACAATTAAAAACAAGAGAGAACGCTATAGTCGGGTGCCCCGACTATCAGATACCCGTTACTCAGCTAAAGGGAGTGCGAAGGACATGAAGATAAAAACTTTGATCCGCCGTAACTTTTTAACGAATGGTCCGATTTAAAAAATTCCTTCTACATTTCGATAGGTATTCATAAACACAATAAAACTGCATTTTTACTTTTCCTAAATATTGAAATTTTTAAAATCGTATACAAGCGATTGTGGGCGTTAGAGGGGGCGTGGCACTCTATTGAAACAAACTTGCGCTGCGTAGGAACTCCTAGAATCTGCATGCAAAATGTCAATCTTCTAGCTTTTATAGTTTCTGAGATCTCAGCGTTCATACAGACAGACAGACAGACAGACGGACAGACAGACGGACATGGCTAGATCGACTCGGCTAGTGATCCTGATCAAGAATATATATAGTTTATAGGGTCGGAAACGCTTCCTTCTACCTGTTACATACTTTTGCACGAATCTAATATACCCTTTTACTCTACGAGTAACGGGTATAAATATCCCAATAAAATGATTTAATATTAAATTTAAATTTTAAAACCTACTTAAATTGTAGGTGTGGAAAAATCAACTTTTAAAACTCATCAAATTATATCAACCATCATCATAAAATGGTTTTGCGAGATTGGTTTTGCTTAAACGTTGTACATATTAAGTGAATGCCAAAGTAGAAAAAAACAGGAAAAAATTCTGAAATTTGGTAATTGCCACGAGCCAAAAACTGCGATAACAAAACCGTGTGAAAAACTTCGAACAAAAGCGAAAACACAAACAAGCCCAGAGGCGTTTTGAAAAAACCAGCGTGGCTGAGAGGTGGTAAAAACTGAGCCAGTAGATCCGAGAGGATGCACTTTGGCCAGGAGACGAGGCCATCATTGGGGCTCCTGGCTGTGGCTGAGTCGACCGCAACGGCAAGTTGATGTTGCCCCCGTCCTGGCATCTAATTGGGGCCCTCCTCGTGCTCGCGGCAACAGCGGGGGACTCCACCAACAAGATCATCTTGCCGCAGATTCTAAACGGTGGCGTCGGCGGGGGCGTTGGAATTGCCCAGGGCAAACATCCGTCCGGCTCGAAGACCGTGTCGGTTGGAGCGGTTCCAAATTTCGGAGGAGCAGCAATCGGAGGAGCGGGAGGCGGAGGAGGTGGAGGAGGAGGACCTGTGGCTGGCAGCGGAACCGGAAGCACGGTGGTCGGGAGCAATGGCGTGATTGTGGCCGGAGGCGGGGCCAATGTGCCGACTTCGAATTTAAACAGTGAGTATCTGCATAACATATCTAAATGAATATTAAGCTCGAGTAATATTGCACTAAAAAAAAGAAATTTTCTAAATCATTTAACAAATTTTTAGAATTTCCACCATTAGTTTAAAAATAGTTTTAAAAATCTTACAAATGGACAAAAATAGTAAATGATTTTATTCTGTTTAAAATAATTTGTATTGCACATATTTTTCACAATTTCCGATTTTATTTTATTGGCCAATATCCTTTGAGTTCCCGCTCTTTATCAATGTATTCCACAACACCATGTTTACACCCCTTGGATGGCAATTTTGTAGGCCAGTGTAAATACTGCAATCGCACTTTATCCTTATCCGCGATTGCCTTTTGGCTGCTTTCCGACTCCCGCTGCCTGATGCCATCAATAACACTCTGATACCACGTAGGCGACCGACACACCCGCAGCGAATCATATTTGCACAGACAAATAGGGGAAGGGGGACCAATACCCACAGATTGAAAGGAGAGGCAGCCCCAGGGCAAAGGTGATACAAGGCTTTATGCCAAAAATTGAAAGCCACCGGGGCAGAAGGGACAGCGTAGGTAGCAGTTCACAGGTATCCTCGTGCACACAAAAAATATCATTAATATAAGGTAGTATAAACTTAACGTAAAAGTTATTTTCTATGTTACAAAAAAAATTAATTAAAATTAAATCTTGAGCGTTTTTAAAGTTATAAAAAAAAATAAATACATTTCCATATTAAGATTACATCTTTTTTCTGAGTAGGTTAATTTAATTGGCACTTTACAATTTTTGGAAATTAAATTTCATGTAAATTTATAAAGTTTTTAAAGTATCACAATTGAAAAATGTGTACATTGTAAATCGTTTAGGACCAATTCCGAACGAAAATAGTTCTGAGTGTGCCAGTGTGAGCCGTGTGACGGGGAAAAATAAATCCGGTATGGTGACAGAGCCGCGGGGTTAACACGCCTCCAACTCCGATTTGCCACTCGACTCCTGTGAGTGCCGGCTGTCATTGTTCTCAGGTGCAGCGGCAACAAAAACAAAAGAAACAGGGCCAACAACAGCAATAATGCCGTTTAACTGCGCTCAAAATTCATTCAGGCAGCGCAATTTATGTCGCAACAGGCGACATTCACCGCATCATCCTCATACTCATCCCCATCCGCACTCGCATCCTTATTCACATCCTCGGCGACATCCGCCCACTGATTCCACGTCCTGCTGCATCGTCTCAACTGCCGATGGCCAATATCATAGCCAGCGTGTTTATGCATTGCGAGCTGCGAATTTATTCATGAGTGGAGCACCTTAACTATGCAGGCAAAAATGCAATATCAACTTCAATTAGGTGCTGAATATTTAGTTGAAGGCATTCATGACATGAACAGAGAACAGAATGCATGGTTGCATTGTGGCCCAAATAATAAGCTTTTTATGCATACATTTTGCGTTTTTTCAGTGAAGATAAATATAAACATTATAATATAATTTAATCAATTATAATATAATAATAGCTTCAAAATTTTTAATAAAAGAAAATATTTTTTAAATAATTAATTTAATCGTTTTTCCTGAAAAGTAAAATATAATATTAGCTCTTAGTTAACAAGGGAATTAATTCCCATCGTTTTAAAAGTCAAGTTTGTTACTTTCCCATAACTGTCATCTCTATGAAACTTCTCATTTGATTGTTTGTTGTCTCTGTTTTAGGGCGTGGTCGGGTGGGCGTTAGTGCCGTGGCGTCGGAAGGCTGAGACCTCAACAAAATTTATATGCAGACACGCGCTCTGGCGCGAAAATTGCAGCTGGATGAAATCCCATGATTATGCAGACCATTTTCCCCCGCTGCCAGTGCCATTGCGTAAACGTTGCCTGCCAGACTTGAAACAAGGGGTCATAGTTTTTGCCCTTTGGTTTTTTCCATTTTTTGTCACTATTAATCACTCAGAAAAAAAACAACATAATGTGCATATCCTGGTACTAAAAGTTACATATTGTTAATTTACGAAATCTCCTGAATATATTTATAGGCAGATATTTATCCTATTTATTTAATATTAGTTTTTTTTATTCACAGTCATTTAAGATATTCATTTTTTTCATATGAGCTACGCTGTAGAATTTATCAATTAAAGAAACCTTTTTTCCATAAAGTTTATTTTGAGTTTCCTCAACCAAACATGTCAATAACTTTTTCTGCGCACGATAAAAAACAAATAAGACTTTTAGTCAATTTATGCAACTCTTGTGTTATTGTTTTATAATTAGTTGGGCCTTACAGCAGTGTGCGGTCAAAAAGGCGGAGTGGTTGGGATATTGTTTGCATCGCCCATGGCTTCGTGGAGTCAACCAAATTCTATTGACTTGTGCACATATCAATTCGACAAATGTGCAGCTCCATGTGTGCGAATTCAAATGTTTGAGTTTTAGTTCATATTGTACATTGTACATATGTACATTGTTGATATGACTGGCAGGCACACACCGGTCATCATAAATAGCTAATTAAGCTAAAGCAATAGTTCGAAACCGTTACTGGGTTCTAAAATTAAGTTGCCCAAATGTAAATTGTGCAATCGCGAACTCTAATTAAAATTGCCATTTTCCTATTTTCAATTAAAAGATTTTTCCTTTTAAATTGAAAATTTGCAAAGAGCTTTACATTTTTATTGAAATAATATTTAAATCGTACTGAAGTCTTACTTTTCAAATAAATAACCGACTTTATTCACTTAATGCATATTCACCAATGCATATTCAAAAGTCTTTGACTATCCCTCTGAGCGCATTTTGGCTTCATTGAAATCGTGTGATTTGTTATGCATAATTGTTGCCTTTTCAGGAATGCGATTAAATAATTGCAACTCAAACAGTTTAATTGAATTGGCAAAGCTATTTCGTTAGGCTATCATGCTCAAAGCAAACAAAAATTGAATTTCTCTATTAAATATTTGCTTAGCTCAACTAAATTAGCAGCTAAATGAATGAAGCCAAGACTCCTCCCTTGTCCCCAGTGGAGCATCAATATTTGTCTGAATAATAAAGGAAATGCTGTTAGGAATTTTCCCAGTTGCTTCATGGCGCAATTTAAATGCATTTCGACAAAATTGTACGGTCACTGAAAGTTTAATGAGTGCAGCTGGACCAGCGAGTGAAAATTTCCGCATCGAGTGTCACAAAAAAGAGTTTAACTTGTTGATGTTTGAGCAAATATATATATGCGAAATTCACTACACACGAACATGTGCTTAATTATATTTGTACATATTCGTTGTTGTTCGTTTTGCCCGCGGGCATTCATTCCCGTACGGCAGCAGGAATAATGAGTCAATGCAAAAATCAATGAAATAATTATTTTGCACCCCCGAAAGCCATTTTTCGAACCGCTTTCGCACCTCCAACCCCGCATGCGAATCCAGAAACATTTTTACAATTAATTTTGTGCGCATAATTGATTTTTATGGTTTATTTGATTATGCAAATTCATGGGCAGCATATTGACATAGAACTAAGTCAAATAGGAATAAAGTTGAATAAATATTTTATGCACTAAATTAAAATAAATTAATTGTCAAATGTCATTTTTTTAATCTTTGTGCTTTGCAGTTGTCGTCGAAGAACCCGAATTTACTGAATACATCGAAAATGTAACTGTACCTGCTGGACGTAATGTTAAACTCGGCTGCTCCGTTAAAAATCTGGGCTCATATAAGGTGAGATAAAACTGTTTTACTACTGCATCGTATAGCATAAAAAGAAGGTTAACTAAAATGAAAACAACATAGGAAAAATCTCAGTCAGAACTAAAGCTCTATGATAGCGATTTCGGGAGTCTGAATATCGGAACACAAAATATCATTTTTCATAACCAAAAAATGTTTTAAAAATATTTTAACATTTTTGCCCTCATCTTTGTGGTGTTAAATTTAAAACCGCAGTTCAACTTTGCTAAAAAGTGCTGACGTCGAATCGGTTTGTTTTTATGCATCATTAGCCGTTTTCTTTTGGCTGCAAAAAGAAAACCAAACAGAGCAAGAAAAGCGAAAGGACCACGAAAAATGGGGTTGTACGAGGGACGTGAAATGATTTATTAATTAAGCAGCTTGTAATGAGTGCTAATGATTTGATTACTTGGCATAAAAACCGTGTCTTAAAAGATTAGTCCGGGAGTGCATAGCAAATGAGCTGGCAGCGTGATGAGGGATGAGCTCACTAATTAATTTTCATTGAATGCAGACTGCAATCCTCACAAATCAGCCATTCACTCCATTGAAGCTACCCAAATGTCGCTGCTTTTGACGGGGCTTAAACAGATCATTACCATGAATGGCTGGAGCGGCTTACTCGCACTGACTACTACTGACTTTGGGCATCATTAGGGGACACTCAAGGCACTAGATTCCGGGCTCAAGTAGCCATCGTCTCCACTGGGCTTGTTAGCGAGTTGGCTCCTAAAACCCATCCAATAGTCTGTCGGAACGCAGGAAATGGAATCAAATTGAGGTGTAAATGAGAGCAACAAGAAAGTGTGCAGCAAAAAGAAGAACGTGCAGTGCATGCAAGTAAATGGAAAAAACCCTTGCAAAATTCCTTGCCAAGGTAGAGAAACCGGAGAGACCCGGTTTAACTTTAGTCGAATGGCATGTTTAAGTAGCTGGGCGTCTGTAAGTAAGGCTCCGTCTCCTTCTATATTGGCTGCATGTAATTCATAGCTATCACCACACACATAGGACTCTGTGCTTTTCCCTTTCCGAACATCCTGGAACTTGTAACCGGTTGCGTTTATTTTTATATGCGACACTATGATGCAATTTTCTCGCTTCCGCTCTCTGCCACCCATTTGCACCCCCATTTTTTTGCCTTCTCCTCCATTTTGACTGGTGATGCTGAGCTGTGAAATTGCTGGGTGTTCCATATAGTACGTGTGTAGTGACAGACCGAAAAAAAATAAGCGGACGTTGGGATGTTATTAAAAAGTTCCGGTTTCCCTAAGTACCTAGCCGTGGTTGAAGGTTACTAAATAGTTGGTAAAAAAAGAAAAAGCATTTAAATTTTTTTTGTTATCCCCGGTTAAAGCTTTACATATGCCAGGAATCAAATAAAAACACCGTTTAGTGATGTCAGAAGTTGGGATGGCACCTTTAACATAAAATATCTTTTGCAACTAAAAAACAATACTTGGGTACATTTTCTGAAGTCTGTTTGCTCCTTTGTCAAAACATTTGACAAGTTCTACTCTTCATAAATACAACAAAATACCTCAAAAATCTATAATAAAGTTGGGGACAAAAATATGACATTTAACTTCTCTTTTGTTAATAAATTCTCTTGATTTCTTTAATTTGATTGTACATATTACCTATATGAAAAACCCATATAAATATTTTACCAATTACTCTTTCAGGTCGCCTGGATGCACTTCGAGCAGTCCGCCATTCTGACCGTTCACAATCACGTGATCACGCGAAATCCGCGCATCAGTGTCACGCACGACAAGCACGACCGGCATCGCACGTGGTATTTGCATATTAACAACGTGCACGAGGAGGACAGGGGTCGGTATATGTGCCAGATCAATACCGTGACGGCCAAAACGCAGTTTGGCTACCTGAACGTTGTCGGTAAGTTATGGGGAATCTAATCAGGGCGGAGTAGGTACCTTGGGGATTTTCCGGGGGAGCAGTGAGGCCCACGAAAATCCTGCGCAAATACGCGGCGAATTAAAAAATAATTTATGTGCCTTAAAGCCGAGTGCAAACATGGCCAAAACAAAAACGAAAACGGGAAAAAGCCGGCAGCAAAGTGGAGTCCGGAGTCGAATCCTGGAATCAGGACGAGGGCCAGTACCCGGAACGGAGCACAGTTCAGTGAATCCTTTGGCCAGGCGAAATTATTTTCCCTGCCTGGGCAAACAACAAACAAATTATTAAAAATGCATGCGATATTTGTGGAAAAGGGAGCGAATGCGCGTGCTTTTAATTAAAAAATGTGAGAAAAAGAAACAAAATTATGGGCGAACAATAAAAGAAATTAAGGCAAACTTTAAAATCATATATGAAAAATTATGAAAAATAGAGCCACATTTACATCTAATGAAATTTAACATTAAAAGCCCTTGTAATGGTATTAGCTTAAAAGTAAACACCTGCATTTTTTTGTTTGCCAAATATTGAAAATTCATTTAAAAGTGGAGCAATTGTTACGAGCGTACAATTTACAAATAAATGCTTTTCGATTTAAGCGAATAATGAGAAATTGCAAAATAATTGCTCTGCGAGTGGGGGGGTTCATATTAAAAGCAATTTCCTGATGCCAAACAAGAGTCAATGTGTGCTGTCAAATATTTATCATGCATAAATACGAGGGCAGAGTTCAATTTTAAATGGTCGCTGACTGCATGTATTTAAGAGGATTACCGGTGCGCAACAGTTTAGCGGATATTGCTGATTATTCGTTTTTCCCCTGATTTTTCACAGTTCCCCCCAACATCGATGACTCGCTGAGCTCCAGCGATGTGATTGTGCGGGAGGGCGCCAACATTTCGCTGAGGTGTCGGGCGAGCGGCAGTCCCAGACCCATTATCAAATGGAAGCGCGACGATAACTCCCGCATAGCCATCAATAAGAATCACATAGGTAAGTGCGGATGCACTGCATCAATCATTTAGTGCTGTCCCCTGTCATTTCCCATTTTCATCATCATATTCCCCCCTTTTCCAGTGAACGAGTGGGAGGGCGACACCCTCGAGATAACTCGCATCTCCCGACTGGACATGGGCGCCTATCTGTGCATCGCCTCCAATGGGGTTCCTCCCACGGTTTCCAAGCGCATCAAAGTCAGCGTGGACTGTAAGTACCTTAGATCAGAGTGGCACACTCACAAAAAGTTATCAAGTGACCCATTCGACCCCTTAAGTCACTGCCTATATAGCCACGGTAACGAGTTTGTTTACTATTCGAAAACGCGTCCACGAAAGTTGACTAAAATCGAAATACAAACGTTGTTGTTTCTAGTCATACTCTCTATTTTTCCTTTCTGGCTTTCAATTTATTTTTGTTACGTGCGTACTGGGAATTTTATTTTGCTTTTAAAATTGTCGGGTTATTTTTTCTGTACCTCGTGATTCGTTGCCGCTCATATTTCCATTTGTCGGCAGCGGATTAAAGTCGGACCTTCAGATATCTAGGAAAAATTGTCAGAAAATAGTTTAAACTACTATGGAACAAAACATATTTATTTATAATTTTTCAAATTTATAATAATACTAATTTAATATTATATGTCAAAAATATCTCAACAGTTTTAAATTATTTTATAGATTATGTATGTTTTCATCTGCTTAAATGAGCTGGTTTCCATAATTAAGCATTTATGCATTGTTAGCTAACATTTTTTATTAAAAAATATTTTTCTATAAATCGAAATATATTTTTAAAAATTATTTAAGAGGAAAAGTAATTTTTAAGGCAGTGATGTTTCCTATTTTAATATATTTTAAGTATCCATTATTTTAGTTAATGTTTTAAAGCATATAATATTAGTTTGCAACTCTCTTGTCCCAAGAGAATTTTTCACTGAACACACATGCCTTAAAGCTGCTTTTTATGTGCCAGTGTAAAGTCCCCACAAAAGTCCCACAAAGAGGCCCATGGTTACGACTTTTTTCAATCGGAAACACACTTGTAGCTGCTGCAGTTAAACTACGGCAGCTGCACAAAAAAGAAAAGAATAGACGGAATCAAATCACTGCGTTTGCCGTTGTGCACTTTTTTAAGATTTATTACGGGCGACAGACACATCACATGTGCTGTCAAGTCCTGTCACGCCCTGGGCGGTTGGAAGGTGGGCGTGGTCGTGGTCGTGGTCGTGGTCCTGGTCGTCACAGAAATTTGCTCGTTTGCTGTCACTTAAAAATGCCGCAAGCATAAATCTATTTTTGTTTTGTACACGACATTCGCTGCTGTAACCAAACAAACCTCCGTCGAACAGTGGTTCCAATTCCCTGCTCGCAATAGTAAACCAAACTGGGCCGAAACCAGTTCCAGTTTCCGTTAACGGTCGGCAGTGGCTAACCTCTGGCCAGCGCAAAAAAGACAGCAGTACAAATTACACTTGTGTAGGGGAGTCGCAAAAAAATGGGCCAAATACAAATAGTAGAGTCGAAAATACCTTGATTGCTGCAGATGGCCTGCACAAAAAGGGGATTTGTTCAATGTGTGTGCGGATCCTGTATATAGAATTGCTGTATCCAAAACGCAAGAGTGGCAAAATTGTTGACATAACTAAAATTTTACTAATATTTACTAGTTTTTTAAAAAAGAGTTTCTTTCAATAATTTTAATCGTGTTCTAATTTCTCCATATCCGTTTAAATACCTGAACATTGGAAAGCATTTACTTGGCAATGGTATTATTACAGGTTTCTCCCATTCACATACGTCCATTGATATCCTTTTACAATCGACGATTGCTCAGACAGGAGAAACGATTCCAGACGCAACTTTTAGTGCGACAATCAAGTCAATGCCATCATTCCCATTTCGATCCACACACTAATTCCACAAATATTGTCCCAGGATTTTTTCAGCATTGTCCCTTCGGGGAAGTGCAATCAATGGTCCACAACCGTTCGACAATGTCCTGCCACTTGAACAGTAATCCTCTCCCTTGGCCATCTTCCAACCCCTTAACGAGGCTTCATTAACGGCTAATTTTCAAGTTGTTTACACTCACAGTCAGCTCACCTTTTTTTCCAGCCATTTTCTATGGAGCCGGGCGGAAAGAAAAGAATGTCACTCAATGTCCAATGGCCACCTTCCTTCCCCCAGTTGGGTCTGAAATTATTGTTGACTCAACGCGAGTCGAGTCCTTGTGGCACTTAACAGCTGCTTGACTCGCCTTCCTGGCTTCTCCTTTCGCCTTTCGCCAATATTGTCGCCACTCAATTGTAATTTAAATCAGTGCCCGAAAGCAGTGGAGTGGCGGCGAAGAAGCTGTTATCCCGGACAAATGTTTGTCCTTTCATTTCTTTCACTGCGACTCCAGTCCCCCTTCTTTCTGTGTGGGCAATTAAAATGAACGGAAATAAGGGAAACGACAACTTCAAGGTGATTTCAGCTTGACTTTCGCTTAAGCTCCGCTCAAAAGTTGTCTGGGGAAAAATGAACAGAAATTATATCAATATAGAATATCTGTACTGCATACGAAATTAGTGGGGAAAATGTTTCGTTTTTGCCTTGGACGGTTTCTTTTGATTTCCTTGGGATTGGCGCAGGTTAAGGGTCGTTTGCAGCATATGTTGCTCCTTTGCCGGCGAACTTTTCTGTTCCGTTCTGTTCCATTTCTGTTTCGGTTGCACAAAGGCAACAAATCAGTATGCAGTCAGAAATATGTACACATAAGGCCGCTCTTTCTCTCTTCGGAACCGGAAACAGAAACTGAATTTGTTGCTTCCTGCTTGCTAAGCAACGCACGCCACAAAAATAAACTTATGCTTGTGTGTATCTGTGTGTCCTGGCCAAAGGACATATGCAAGCTGTCACAGTTGTTTTAACAAATTGTTCGGGCTCTCTGTGTGTTTGCCCTACCATAAGTTTGAAAAATCCAAAGGAAAAATGTTCGTGTTTATATTAAAGAATCTGCCAATCAAAATATTATTGCTAGATTGGAAAATCTGAAAGCAGGAGATGAGAAATGGGATTTTGTATCTCCTCTGGCTGGCGTAATTGGTGAAGAGATCTCTCTTTGAGTGGCCACTAACCCACTTGACCCGACTCGCTGACAGGCTAATTAAGTTGCTCACTTCGTCACACTTAAGCTTATTTTTATTAAAAGGATTATACCCATCCGGTTTGGGCTCTGGGCACCTCATCAAAAATACAAAAGATCCACGGGATACTTTACATAAGCATACAGAAAAGCCAGCAGGACCGACGCTAATTTGTGTCCAAGCTGATTAAAAATTCAATTGGACAAAGAGGGGGGCAATCCTTTGCTTTCCATGCCATTTTTCGTTAGCCTTCAGCTTAATTGCCAACTCTTGGTGGACATAAATCAACAAAAGGTAAAACAGGCAGACAAATGACAAGGCAGGAAAAAACTCCAGAAGAATATCCATTGTGCCCCTTAATGATGATGGGCAAAATGCTGATGACGATGGATGCTCGGATGCCGACAATAACTATAGGAAAAACGTAGTGCTCGAGTGTTCATTAGTCCCACTCTCTTCCGGCGACATTTCCCCATTTAATATCTTAATTAAAAATGTGCGCCAAATGCGCCTGAAGTGCGGCATTTTTTTTATGTTTCGTTTTTCGAGGTGGCAAAGGTTGGATTTCCATAGATGTCCTCGCACATAATTACAAAGGTGCAGGCGTCGCAGGCTGGCAGCCAACTCAAGATGGGAAAAATCTCGAATAATGCTATTCATAAGATTTCACTGAAAGGAAAATAGTTTTTGTTTTTCGTTTTTTCGAGGCTCAAGAACTTCCTCCGGGCGACTCGTCCTGACTTGCAATTTAAATGAAAATCAGTCTGAGGAGAAGATGCCTGCTTAAATCAAAACTAAAATGGAGCATTTGCATAAACCTAAAAACAGCAGGCGAAAAATCTATAGGAAATATAGGTACGCATCATGAGCGGATTCAACGGGGGTTTTTAAACAATTTAAATTAGGTTGCTACCTATCCCCATATCGATACTTTCTAATTAAAATAGCTTTAAATCACACCACCTGAGTGAAAGGTGGTAGGAGCGTTAGTATACCAAAACCACTGGTTCGAAACTTAGTGTATTCTTGCATTGTGTGAAATTAATTATTATTTTATCATCACAAAATTGCAGGCTGCACCTCAGAATCGATTCCTTTGTCCTGTAATAAGGTGCAGTGGTTTAAGGCGAACTAAGCAGATGACAATAGGCCAAAATAATTGACCATTTCTAAAGCATCCGGTCAGACTGCCTAATATGTAAGCAATCGGGATCAGCATTTAATCCTTTTAAGGTGATATTGTTTACATAAGCAACTTATGGGAGGAAAATATAAGTATTAAATTATAATTGACTAATTTGCCTAGAGCGAGAGAAATGTGGATATTGGTAAAAGGAGCATATTTATCCCCATGAATATGTATCCCACCTCGAGTTAAAAGTGAAAAAAAAAATGTGGTATTCAAAAAGTTTGCAAAAAATGCCCCCCACCAACCAAATCCTAGATCCGCCACTGGTATGCATATATAGTTTTTGGTCTTGAAACTTGGTTGTTGGTCAATATAAAATGCAAAAAAACTTTAAAACTTTGTCAAATGAATTATAAACCACAAGTTGACCACCAGTTTTCTTCAGTTTTCTTCCGAGTTGAGTTTATGAATTTGCCGAGTTGAACTTTTTTGATTACAGAAATGGGTGATAGCAATTTTACGACTGAGAAATAAAAATATTTTTTTAGTGATTTTATGCAGGGTCTGTACACCTTCTATTTGATTTGTATGAATTGTGATCATTTCAGTTCCTCCAATGCTGCTTATACCTCATCAATTGGTTGGTGCTCCAGAAGGTTTCAACGTGACCATCGAATGCTTCACCGAGGCACATCCCACATCTCTGAACTATTGGACACGTGGCGAGGGACCAATCATCCACGATTCGCACAAGTACAAGTGAGGAAAAAATATTAGTATTAATTATGAATACTTAAAAAGAGAATAAATAACTTCATATTGGTAAACGTGGTTTCTCTTCATATTTTAACCCTTTTAGAGTTGAAGCTACAGTCGGATTGCCTGCTTATAAAACCCATATGAAGCTGACCATTATCAATGTGTCGAGTGGCGACGATGGCATCTACAAATGTGTGGCCAAGAATCCCAGAGGCGAAACGGATGGCATTATACGATTATACGGTGAGTGGAAAACAAGTAAATATTTCAAATTGAATTAGTTCAAGAAGTCATAAAATACAAGAAACCAACACTTTCTTAAAGTTCTACAATTGCCCGTTCAATCCCAACTAATTAAGTTCTCAATGTCCAGCGGGTCTAATAAAGGACTCGAGGCATTGAAAAACTACCGCATTGGCCTTAACACAAATTGACAAATCTAAGCCATTTAGATGTTTGTCCGTGCCAGGGACAAAGCCAAATGAAAGGCCGAAATGAAACGGGAGAGAAAAAACCTCGGCCACATCCGTGGCCTGACTTAATTGCCTGTCTGCGAGTAGAGCTCAGTCTCCTCCTCTGTACTATGTAGAACTCGGCCCGAATGAACCGAAATGGTCGCCCGAAAATGGGGTAGGACGAGCTCGTTGAGCGGCCATAATCAAGCTAGTGAAAAATCAAGTCACGTCCCTCTACCAAGGTGTGGAATTTTCGGCCAGGCTGCTCTGGCTTATCCTGGCACAAGGAGCCACAGAACTTTCCTTCGGCCCCTTCAGTCTCATATGAAACTTGGCTTTAAAGTTGATATGCGTGTATGTGCCACAAGATTGGTAGCAAGTTAATATCACGTATTTAGTTTAATTACGTGATGGATTCGATGCAAGGGAACGATTTTAAGTTATCGATTGGGAAATGGTTATTGTTGGGCAGTACTGAGATTAAAGTCCACAAGAATAACAAACGAGAAAATGTAATGGAATATTTGAAACTAGTTCTTAAAGCAATATCAGTAGGAAAAAAGGCCTTAAAAAGTTTTAAGTTCTAAACCAATAATCCGTTTAACCAATTTCCCATCCATTGATATATTAATAAATTTTAAATTTCGGGAAATGGCCATCAGAATGCCATCGCGCCCAAAGGTACATTGCATATTAAAATATTTGCCGAATATAGCATTGATTTTCCAAAATGCCCGGGCATAAATTTCAACATTCCAATTATAATTTCAACAAATTGAAATGGGAAGCGACCGAGCCAAGGGGCTTTAATTATGGACAGTTTTCCGCGAGGTTCCGCAGAGTGTACAAAAATACATGTGCATATTGACACATTATTATGAAAATACAAAATAATTAGCATTTTGCATAAGCCACTGAGGCGTATGAAATGCCCGACAAGAGACAACTGCAAAAAATATTCAGAATGAGACAAATAAAATCAGTAGAGTGAGACTGCATCAAAATTTAAATAAGTACAAAATGGCGGAATTCGTAAAAAACAAATGGTACGAAACGTGCTGTAAATGGCAAATTGAAAAATGTAAATTTTATGAAAACAAGACCATTTTTCTCCAATAGAATATTTATTGTTGCTATTGTGCAGCGATGTGGTGAGTCAAATAAATGCAAAGTAAATGAAAACACAATACAATCCAGTGCCACAACAAAATAATGAAACTGTCCTTTTACGGGAGTCAATTGTGATACAATTTACAAAAGCTGAGCCTATTATTTGTACTATTAAGTAGGTGTTTTTAAAGCGGTTTATAAACTGGCTTAAAGATTTAATTGTGTCATTAACAAATTCCATTTTTAAGGAATTTTAACCTTTAATTAGTTTATAAATCACATTGATTAAATAATAATTATTAAATTTTATATTTTTTCTCTTTTTTTCAGTATCCTATCCACCAACTACTGCCTCATCGGGTCTGTACTCCACCGATTCGCATTGGGGAGAGAACGGGATCAACAACAACTATGCCTACGGTGGCTCCGACTCCACGCGATCCATTTATGCGCAGGATAAAAGTGAGTGGATGATAGCTTAACATACCCACAGTATTCTTACTATCCCCAAGCACCCTAAATATATCACTGAATCACTCTTCCCCTACTCACACGATTTCTTCGGCTTCTATTTGTACTCTATTTCATTCCATGCCCACCATTTCATGGCCCCACATTCAGATACGCGATATCAATCGAATTTGAACGAAATCGGTTTATCTGAACAAAAATCCTTCCTAGATAAGACGCAGAATCCGCTGTTGGCCAGCGGCAATGCCAACGAGGCGGATGCGGAATCCAACGGATGCGGAATCCACAGCCCTTCGATGGCCATTGCGTGGCTATTCGTCGTCGTCTCGACATCGTTGTTAACAATCCGATCTGCGGTTGGTTCTAGCCCTAGCGTAAGTCTATGTTAGTTAATGCAAATCTAGCCTAGAGTTATCCATTTCAACTATGTATGGGATTAGCTGGTAAGGCTTCACGTAAAGTTAGCGAATAAAGTATACAAAGATATGTACGTGTAATCGACTAGTCCCTAGAAAAACAGACCCTAATTACGATCCGCCCTTCCCCCATATATATACCCACGTATATGTGAGACACCAGGCCCAACTGAGCTTGGTAAGCAGACATATGTATAGCCATCAATCACAAACCCCTCGTCGGGAGTCTATATACACTCATATCTGCATCTATGTCTAGGAGGTAAGATAAAGCAACCAACCAAAGGGTAAATGCAATTTCATTTTGCTTTCAATGCTGTGCTTCAAACTGAGAAAGTTTCATAGTTACCACATAATATACCACGGTCTATATAAATATGCATACACTTCTATATATTCGTGCGTTAAACGCTGCTGACTCACTCTTGCATATAAGATTACAGACACCTAATATTATTATTATGCATATGCCTTAAGGATTGCAAGCTGAAATGCAAATTAAACTTAGAAAAATAAGCCACCACACACATATCGATCATGGAAATTGTTTAAGTAAGCCAAAAGTACCGAAACACGATAACTTTTTTGTAGATATAGTTTGAGTTGAGTTAGGGACACGTTTTTGAAATTTCACAAAAAAAACTTTAAATATTTCTTACAGTTAGGTAATCTATAAAGGCCAAAATTCAATTATATAATTTAATAATCCTTGTTATACCCGTTACTCGTAGAGTAAAAGGGTATACTAGATTCGTGCAAAAGTATGTAACAGCTAGAAGGAAGCGTTTCCGACCCCATAAAGTATATATATTCTTGATCAGGGTCACTAGCCGAGTCGATCTAGCCATGTCCGTCTGTCCGTCTGTCTGTCCGTCTGTCTGTCTGTCTGTCTGTCTGTCTGTCTGTCTGTCTGTCTGTCTGTATGAACGCTGAGATCTCAGAAACTACAAAAGCTAGAAGGTTGAGATTTCCCACACATATTCGTTGGCTTCCTACGCAGCGCAAGTTTATTTTAGCCGAGCGCCACGCCCCCTCTAACGCCCACAATCGCCCACTAACGATTTTAAAATGGGTCCTGCGCCCACATCTTTAAAGATTTCCGAGAAGTATAAATGCAATTTTGTTGTGTATATGTATACCTATCGAAATGTTGAAGACATTTTTCAAATCGGACCATTCATTAAAAAGTTATACGCAATCAAAAATTATATATCTATCTCCCTCGCACTCCCTTTAGCTGAGTTACGATTATTAGTCGGGACACCAACCCGACACAGCGTTCACACTCCCTTTAGCTGAGTGACGGGTATTAGATAGTCGGGACAACAACCCGACTATAGCGTTCTCTCTTGTTTTAACTCGGTTCATTAAATATATCTGCTGCAGCTCATCAGATTAAATCTCTTTTGGTCATCAATTTAATTACGATGTAACTTATGGATTAATGTTAATGTAAAGATAAAACGAAATGTTAAACATTTAAGCTAAAATAATATAAACTTAATTGTGTTGCTTTAAAAACAAATTAAAATAGAGGCAAAAGAGCATGTTGAATGATGAGAAATATATTTGAATTGAACGCAGAGCTATGGACACAATTGAAGAAAAATATATACATACAATATAAAAATTATATACAATTATAGACGTACGTATATACAAGGAAACACACGCATACACGGACTACACTTATATAACATGTATTTAAGCATATAAAATGAGTTGTAACTGAGGCATTAAATTAAATAAAAATCCCAAAAAGACAAATAAAGCAACTGAATGGCGTTCAGCGGGGAGTCACGGAGAGTAATGAAAGTGGGTAAATTGAAATAAAAATGCATCAGTGAGGAGCAAGAATGATGTGTTAAATGCTTAATTAGCAACCAAATTAAACAAAGCCCACGTAAACAACACCAAACATTAATATTAACAAAAAATAAACAACAATGAAAAAACCGAGCAAAACATTAATAAACAATTATCAAAAACGTTCAACTACCTTTGCCTAAGCCGGTCGTGTTTTTCTGTTGCTCCAGAATCTTTTGTTTATTTGAGTGATAAAATTTTAAATTTAATCGCTAAATTAGCCTACAAGTTCTGTGGTTCATAAACTCCTCCTGTTCAAATCAAATCCGAGCTCGGACAGTTAATATAAAAGTGTTTAATTTATAAACAAACCAGAAAATTAACTTCAGCCAGCAAACAACAACAAAGCGTCTGCTTTGTCACAGCAAGTATTGTGTTGTTGTTTTTATTCTCCCGCTCTCCTGCTGTACGCCTCTCGGAGCTGCCGGTCCGTTATTACTCTAACGGCACTTTTCCCGCTCTCCGCTTTGTGCGTGTCGCCTAAATTCACCGATCAGTGCAAGCCCTCCTGCTAACTTACGCTCTTAAATCCGAACGTTGTAGCTTGCTGCTCTGTATTCCGCTGCTCTCCACGCGTTGCCTTAATCTTTCGCCGCTCTTACTTTGCTCTGCATAGTGACCTGAGTGCATTCAAAAATGAGTCTATCCTGCTCAGCCAAAAAATGCGAGTTCAACGGCGTTATTGCTGGCGAAACTTATTTGTTGTGCTGGCTATGCGAGAATACTGCGCATTGCAAGTGCGCCGGTGTCGGCGTACATGGTCGTATTGGGGATCTTATTTCCAAAAGAATTGGATTTCTTTGGACTTGCTCCGCGTGCCGTGAGATTACGGACGAGATGCGTTCCTTCATGCGGCAAACTCGAACTGGCTTCAGGGAGATCAAGAAGCTGTTTAGTCACCTTCACGAGAAGCTGATAGCCGTTGAGTCCCAGTTTAATGGGCTAAAAATAATTAAGGAAACTCCAACAAAGCTTTCTTCTCCTCCAACTGGCCAATTAATAAACCACCTTACTCCTACTATTCCACCTTCATCCATGAGGGATCCTGGCTCCTCCAATAGCTCACTAATGTACGCTTCATTAGTTTCTGCCAACGCCAGTGTAAACGATAAAAACTACGTATCCTCGAATAACCTTGTGCCTCCACTGCCGGGTCCTTTATTATTGTGCCCTACCATTGAATCAGCCATGTCTCCTACTAGATTGGCAATTCCTGCTCCAGTGCTTAATTTTGTAACTCCTAACTCCGTCGGTATCCTCCGTTAAAACGGCACCGCCAGTATCCTCTGGTCAAGTAACGTCGGTTGTACATAATGTACATAATGGTCCTGGTTCCTCCAAAAGAAATCGCAGGCCCCTCCTGGCTGCGGTTAATAATGGTCATCCAGCAGGCGCAAACCGTATACGCCTCGAAGCTGTAGCGCCACAAGCAATCATGCCAAAGAAGGCCATTTTTGTGTCGCGTCTAAGGCCAGATACTACCATCGATGAAATTAAAGGTCACCTAAGCGATGAGCTCCAAGCCTCTCCTGAAAACTTTGTTGTAACAAAATTTAATTTTGCTTACAAAAGAAAAGTTTCTTCATTTAAAATAATTCTGCCTGATACACATTTTTCCCGTGCTTTAAATCCTGCACTATGGCCAGTTAATACGATTGTTCACGAGTTTGATCGGAAAGAACCAGCTATAAATACAAATCCGTCAGTTCCAAAAAACTAGATTTTGTATTACATTATCAAAATGTCCGTGGCCTTCTCAGTAAGCTGTCCAGATTGCATACTGACAGTGCTGCTTTTGATCCCAGCGTTATTGCTTTTACTGAGACTTGGCTTAATCCAACGGTATCTGATAATGAAATACTTACCAATAATTTTTTCCTCTATAGACGTGACCGTCCCTCTAAACGAGGTGGGGGTGTCCTAATCGCAGTAAAGTCTGAAATATCATCCCAAGTTGTATCCATTCCCAATGTTGGTGATATTGAATTCATGTCAGTCAAAATATGTCTTCCTAACTGCAACATATTTGTAACCTGCTCCTATATTCCTCCATGCTCTGAGGCTTCGATCTATATGCAACACCTCTCCGCTATCCAGAATATCTCATCATATGCCTCTGACTCAGACCATATTATAATACTGGGTGACTTTAATATTCCGTACCTATCCTGGTCTCCTTGTGTCGATCTAATTGCCCTCGTTCCTGGTGATCAAAACGATTTTGTCGACGGTCTTATTGACTTATCTCTTGGTCAAGTTAACTCAATTTCTAATGCGAATGGAAGATTTTTAGATCTTATTTTTGTGTCTGACCTTTGTGATGCCATTGTCACACGTACCTCTCCATTGACCACTCCTGAGGACTCTCATCATCCTACACTCCAACTATCCATTAGTGGCATTTTTCGGGTACCCAATTCCTTTGAGGCCCCATTGCGGACTCGTTGTTTTCGGCATGTAAATTATTTGCAAATGTCGAGATCCCTATCTTCAGTGGATTGGTCTTGTCTTGATAGTCTTCATCTTGATGAGGCCATTTCAACTTTTTATAATGTCCTTTATTCCATATTTGATGAATTAGTCCCTTCCACAGTTGTTAATAACTCTAACAGCCCTCCGTGGTCTTCCAAACACTTGGCTCACTTAAAAAATATAAAAACTAAACTTTTTAAGAAGTTCGCCAAAACAGGACTTCAGTCTGATTTTTCCAAATACAGCGTTGCTAAATCCAATTACTTCCTGCATAATTCTGAATGTTATAACAGCTACCTCCTACGCTGTAAAAACGAATTTCGCAGCAATCCTAAATTATTTTATTCCTTCGTCAACTCAAAGCGCAAAGCTAACAAATTTCCTCCATCACTACAGCTAAATAATGTATCTGCATCGAATGATCAAGATATTGGCAACCTGTTTGCGGACTTTTTCCAATCCACCTATTGCAAAAATAATACCGGAATCAATTGTAGCTACTCCTACCAGCTACCCCACACTGACGCCATTTTCAATCCTCTAATTGATGAAGCAGAAGTTCTACGTAGCCTATCCACGATTAAATTATCATTCTCTGCGGGTCCTGATATGGTTCCAAGCTGTGTCCTCAAACATTGCGCCATACCACTTGCAGTTCCATTAACTATGATTTTTCATAAGTCGATTGCTACTGGCACATTTCCATCTATGTGGAAAGAATCCTTTCTTATTCCGCTACATAAAAAAGGTAGTAAATCTGATATCAGCAACTATCGCGGCATAGCCAAACTTAGTGCTATTCCTAAGCTCTTTGAAAAACTTATTTGCGATCAACTGCAGCACCAGTGTCGCTCCTTAATATCCTCTAAGCAGCATGGTTTCACAAAGTGCCGGTCTACAACAACTAACCTGCTTGAGTTTACGACCTTCATTAGTCAAGGCTTTAAATCCACAATGCAAACTGATGTTATCTTTACTGACTTTAGTAAAGCCTTTGATTCGGTCAACCACGAGCTACTGCTCCACAAGCTCCTCCTCCTCGGATTTCCTCCAACTCTACTGACATGGCTTCGTTCTTATTTAACAAATCGTACCCAAAAGGTCCAGTACAACAGCATTTATTCAAAAGCTGTTTCCGTATATTCGGGTGTACCACAAGGCAGTCACCTCGGTCCTTTACTATTTGGCTTATTTATCAACGATCTTCCTCAAGTAATTGAGTTCTCCAAAGTACTTATGTTTGCGGATGATGTCAAGTTGTGTATGCATCTGACCTCACCTAGTTCCTACATGCAGCTCCAGCTCGACTTAAATAACCTTCAATCCTGGTGCCTAGTCAACAAGCTACTGCTCAATCCTGATAAATGTAA